GGGAACCGTGTGGTCTGGGTGTCCCCGTGTGGTTTTAGGGACCCATGTAGTCTGGGTTCCCCATGTTGGTTTGGAGACCCATGTAGCCCGGGTGTCCCCATGTGGTTTTAGGAACCCATGTAGTCTGGGTACTCCGTGTGGGTTTGGGAACCCGTGTAGTCTGGGTGTTCCCATGTGGATTTTAGGGACGCCTGTACTTAAGCCATTATCTACTGTCTGCCGGCATCTGCATTAGCTGGAAACTGGAGTCAGACTGGATAGAGGGCCGCAGGTCAGGCTGCAGCAGGGGGGCATCCTAGGAAGTGGTGTGTTAACTGGTGCACCACCGCCTGGCCCCACGGGCAGGTGCTCGGGGTCGGTAGTGGATCCAGAGCGTGGCAGCCTTTCCACACGTCTGCGTCTATTGTGTATGGTGCAAGGCAGAAGCAGCCTTGTTAACATTGTTTTGAAGTGTTTTCTGGAACAAAACAGTAATACTCCATGTCACCTCCAAATTCTAGCACTTGTGATTGTTTAAGATAATCCAGATGAGGAAGGGAAAGGCAGTGGATGGTAAAAGCAGCACCACTCTTCATATTTCTGTTTGTTTGTTTTTTTTTTCCATTCTTCTCCTACGCTCCTTGCTGCGTCAACCATCTTTTGGTGGAACATTTTCTTGCACCACCTAATACACGCTCAACAGGTGATAAAGACTCAGCAATATTTGACCAGAAAAGGATTGAGTTACTGAGCTGTGGCTTCTTAGCCTTTCTCGTTCAGCTGTTCTAGTGAAGGTCTGTCCATTTTCCATACTCGCAAGAAGGCGGATGAACCTGCTGTGAAGGAGAACGTGGGAAGATAACCACACAAGGCCTGCTTGGCGTTTTACTGAACTGGTAGAGGACCATACTTTTTTAGAAATGAAAATTGCCTGAGATACATTGAATTTTGCTCTGGAAGAACACGCGTGTTCTTGCAACATTCCGCCCCTGTTCGCGCTTAGCCCCCGGTCTCGGTGTGTGCTGTGTCTGCCCACGCACTCTGCAGGCTGGCGGAGACCTGCCAGCGCTGGCTGCCGCATGCTCGCTCCCTCCCCGCTCACTTACCCCGCGTTGGGACTGGGAAGATCATTATGCAGATATGCAGGTGATGCTCAGGACGTGGGCTAAACGTTAGCTGCATGGCACTGAGGAAAGGGTCGGGAATTCACTTAGAACATGACAGGTCTGGCTACTGCCTGACTGTCTGTGCGTCTGAGGTCAGAAGGCCAGAAGGCTCCAATCTGGAAGGGACTCTGTGCCTTTCTTACTGAAGTGGGACCAGCGGCTGGGGGCTGGCTTCCTGGGAGGAAGTGGCTTCCTTTGAGAGACAGTGTAGAATCCATCATGGGTTTGTAACGGGTTCTCTGTAGGTGTGTATAAGGCATTGGGTTTTATTGCTTTTTAAAGAAAAGCCTTTGGGGACTTAGTGATTTCTTAAGGCAGGGTAGGGGAGGAAAGTGGTGAGTTTTATGTGTGTTAGAGATAAAATGTTTGTATGTTGTTCAGTTAAAAGACGTTGGTAGTTGGACTGATTTCAAAGTTCCGGCTGAGGGAGAAATGTTCTCAGCTCAGCTTGGATAGTGTCAGCATTCTTGGCTTGAAGGGTCAATCCAGATTAAAGATTTTTATCATCTGAGTTGCCTTATCATCTGAAGGCAAATTTGGGTGCCTCAGTTACTGTGCTTGAAGGAGGATGTTGAACAAAAAGATCTCAGGGATTTTTTTGGTAGGTGTGAAGTTATGGGGTTCTCTGACGTAGTGGTGAAAAGCCGGAGCAAAGCAGAAATTGCAGAGCTGAGTGTGTCCTGGTTTAATGATACGGTGTGTAATCATGTGATTAGCCCAGCCTGGTGGAGTGGACACTACAATCAGAGTATAACACGGGGGAATATTTTAACGTTTGCTGTGCATGGTTAAAAAAAGTGGAAAATGTTATTTTTTAAAAGAAACGTGCACTACGGGTGTTTTGTTTTGAAAAGGTGAAAGCGTTATTCTTATTCTGCACTGGATTCTGCGCTTTGCAGGATGAAAACCAGAATTCATTTGGCATTGACAATCTGAAGTCTCCTTCACTCTTGCCTAATTGACGAGGGTTCGATTGTAGACTATTTTGTCCGAAGACTATCCCAAGTATTTTCAGTTTCTTGGGAGTCTGAGTTAAGTTACTTCGGTGACGTATCTAAGAGTGTTGGGATGCGGCCTGGAGAGTAGCATTCAGGTGGTCTGATGACATCTGAGTGTTAGAAAGCCTTATCTCTTTCCCCCTTTTCTCCCGTCTGTTTAAACCTTCAATACGTCGAGGCAGGAAGCTGTTCGTTGCAAACTCTTTCCCTTAATCCTTTGTTCACCTGACTGATTTTTGTCTGAGAAAGCTACTTTCTTGTTAGTCACGATGGTTTCTGTTTGACACTAGAATGTATAGTCAAGGACTAGCTAATTGGAGCAAATATAATATTTTACTTTAAATATTTCATTTTTCGGGCATGGCACGGTGGCCTAGTGGCTAAAGTCCTCGCCTTCAACATGCCGGGATCCTATATGGGCACTGGTTCTAATCCTGGCAGCCCCATTTCTCATCCAGCTCCCTGCTTGTGGCCTGGGAAAGCAGTCGGGGACAGCCCAAAGCCTTGGGACCCTGTACCTGCGTGGGAGACCTGGAGAAGGTTCCTGGCTCCTGGCTTCGGATTGGCTCAGCTCAGCACCAGCTGTTGTGGTTACTTGGGGAGTGAATCATCGGATGGAAGATCTTCCTCTGTCTCTCCTCTCTCTGTTTATCTGACTTTGCAATAAAAAAAATAAATCTTTAAAAAAAATTTATTTTTCAGTATGCTTCTAAGGGTTATTATTTTGATGTTTGTAGGGAAATGCCAGAAAAGTTAGAAAGAACAGCAATCTTTAACAGTAACTTCAGCTAACTGATAATTCTTTGGCACGTAGACCTTATGTGAGTATCATTGGTTTTATGCTTGAGGCATATGAGGTGAATAAATTGGATAGTTTTCCTTTACCTTTGCCTGAGTTAATATGACTTTCAGAGAAGTTATTTTTAAACTGTTGAATAAAGTAAATTGTGTTTCCCAGAATTCTGTTTTCTCTCACATTTTTCCGTGCTTGATAAAATAATGCTTAGGAGAAGATGCTTGTCCGTGTGTATGGATTGCTGTCTGGTAAGCCAAACTATGGTTGGAGTTACCACATTTCTCATTCTACTGCAAGTGAAAATATTACATACTTAAAGAATTGGACCTGCTATTTTTTTCTCCTCTCCTCTCCTCTCCTCTCCTCTCCTCTCCTCTCCTCTCCTCTCCTCTCCTCTCCTCTCCTCTCCTCTCCTCTCCTCTCCTCTCCTTCTCTCCTTCCTTCCTTTGTTTGTTTGTTTTTAGGGATGATTTATTTATTTGAAAGAGTTAGGGAGAGACAGCGATTTCCCAGCCACTGATTCACTCCTAGATGGCCCCAAAGGCTAGGGCTCTGCTGGCACCCAGGAGCCAGGAGGCTCTTCCAGGTCTTCTGTGTGAGTTCAGGGTCCCAAGCACTTGGGTTATTAGGCACGGTTCTCCCATGCCACTAGCAGGGAGCTGGACTAGAATGGGCCGTATGCTATCTCAGTGTTGTAGATGGCAGTTTAGTCTTTTGGACCATACTGCTCGCTCAATACGTGTGTCCTGATAGGACTAACAACCCATCTTCATAACTCAGTTTTGTTTGTTGTCTCTCTATATGGTGAAGGAAAGTATGAAGCTTCCTATATTTTTTTTATTGTATTTAATTTTATTTGAAAGACAGAAGGAGACACATCAGAATTATCTGTGCGGTGGTACACTCCCACATGCCCACAGCAGAGAACTGCAGACAGGAGCCAGGAGCTCAGCTGGGTCTCTCATGTGGGGAGCAGGCACCAGCTCGTGGTACCTTGCCTTCAAGGTAGTTACCAGAGGAGCTGGGATTCGAACCAGGCACGCAGGTCTTCTGTTCTGCGAGGACTAAAGGAGGCCACCGAGGGTGAGCATCGCAGTGGGAGTGTCACAGGGTGTTGTTATGCCACTGTTGTGTTTTTGAGCATGTGTATGTGCACACACATACAGCACACACGTACAGCTGTGTGTGTGTGCCAGCAGTCACGTACGTGAACAGACGTGCATTTTTAGTGCCAGATTACCCAGCTCTGCGCCATCCCTGTGTGAGTTCTGTTTTGCGATGGGAACCTGGCTTCTTCAAAGACCCTGTTCCTCTTGCCAAGGTGGCTGTCCTTGCGGGATGCCAATTCTTGGCTTGTCTCATCCAGGAGCTCCCTGTTGATAGTGCCTTTCTACATACTGTTCAATTGTTTGTTTCTAGTCGACAGCAAACATCCCCAGTTCGAAACCTCATGCGACTATTTTAAAATGCATTGCTTAAAAGATGTGATTGAGCTAGGAAATGTCAACCAAGTTTTTTGAAGTTTGTGTTAAACAATTTAAATGCTTTGATTGCTATTTTTTTTAAAAAGAATTGGCACAAGAATAGCTTTCTTACTTTTTAGAAATGTCCCATTGAATATCTAATAGCAGTATATGGTTACTGATGAGAGGTGAGTGAGGAATCCCAGGAGAAACCAAAGCACCTGAAATCCTTCCCCTGGGGTGCAGCTCTGTCTAACAGGGTCAAGGCTTCATGTCTTGTATTTGCTACCTACGAGAGTGGACTAGAGAACTTTTAGTAACTTGTATGTTCACTGAAACTTGCAAGCTTAGGCCTGCCTGAGCAGTTTTAATATCTAGTCCAGAATTCAATGACAGATTGGCTTCAGTGAGCGCAAATTTCTTGTCGCTTTGTTGAATAACTGACAGGTGTCTTCCGGCTGAGAGCAGGGCTGAGCTGTTTTTCTTTAACCTGTCCTGCTGCTGCTGTGTAGTTTTGCATCAACTGAATGTAAACCACGTTCGCTTAACGCTAGATAGTATTTCTTGAGATACTTGTTTTCTGCTGTTTTCATTGTAGCTTTTGAGGAACTTGAAAAAGCCTTGAGTACAGCCCAAAAAACGGAAGAAGCACGGAGACAAATGAAGGCAGAAATGGATGAACAAATCAGAGCGATCGAGAGGACCAGCGAGGAGGAGCGCATCAGCCTGCAGCAGGAGTTGAGTCGGGTGAAGCAGGAGGTTGTGGATATAATGAAAGTAAGCCTGACCCCGGATTGACGCGGGCCACGGTGATTTGAAAACCGAAGTCTGTTTTCCTTACCGTCTGTAACTGTAAACAAGAGGTCAAAATGATGTTCAACATACAATAAAAATGGACTTTAATTGGGGAATGAGATCTTTCTTGAAAATTTTTATCCATTTTTTGTAAAGATTTATTTAGTTTTATTGCAAAGTCAGATATACAGGGAGGAGGAGAGACAGAGAGGAAGATCTTCCATCCGATGATTCACTCCCCAAGTGACAACAGCTGGTGCTGAGCTGATCTGAAGCCAGGAGCCGGGAACTGCCTCCAGGTCTCCCCCAGGGGGCAGGGTCCCAAGGCCCTTGGCCGTCCTAGACTGCTTTCCCAGGCCACAAGCAGGGACCTAGATGGGAAGGGATTAGAACCGGTGCCCATATAGGATCCCGGCATGTTCAAGGCGAGGACTTTAGCCACTAGGCCATTGTGCTGGGCCCTCATTTTCGTTTTTTTAAAGGTTAGCTATTCCTTGACCCCACCTCTCGAGGAGGGCTCCTCCATTTACTGACCCACTTCCCAATGACCGAAAAAGCCAGAGCTGAGCTGATCTGAAGCCAGAAGTCAGGAGCTTCTCCTGGATCTATGTATGAGTACAGAGTCCCAAGGACTTGAGTCCTCCTCTACTGCTTTCCCAGGCCATAGGCAGGGAGCTGGATGGGAAGTGGAGCAGTCAGGACTTGAACCAGCACCCAAATTGGATGCCAGTGGTTAGTTTGGTGCACCACTGCACCAGCCCCTTTGCAGCCGTATATGTGACATGTACACAGATTGATAGATATCAGTAGGGTTTCTTCCACTGAACCTAGCCAGGAAGGTACTTGCCTAATATGTGCTTGAAGGAAAATCGGAGGAAGTGATTGAGGAGCTATGTTGCTTAAATGTTTTAAAGGATCAATATTACATAATAGAGGCTACTTTAAAAAAATATCGATAGGCAGGTGTTTGGCCTGGCTCTTTTTTTTTTTATTATTAATAGGTTTATTTTTATTGAAAAGTCAGATGTACAGAGAGGAGGAGAGACAGAAAGATCTTCCATCGGCTGGTTCACCCTCCAAGTGGCCGCAACAGCCAGAGTTGAGCTTATCTGAAGCCAGGGGCCAAGAGCTTCTTCTGAGTCTCCCATGTGGGTACAGGATCCCAAGGCTTTGGGCTGTCCTCTACTGCTTTCCCAGGCCACAAGCAGGAAGCCAGATGGAAAGTGGAGCAGCTGGGATACGAACCCTTGTCCACATGGCATCCCAGCACATGCAATAAGAGGACTTTAGTCACTAGTCTCCTGGCCTGGGCCCTGGCCTGGCTCTTAAACTGCCAGTTAGCATGCCCAGACTCAAGTTCCCACTGTCAGAGCTCCCTATTCCAGCTCCCTGCTGATACACACTCTGGGAAGAAGTAGTGACGGCTCCAGTGGATGGTCCCTGCCATCACCCAAGGGAGCAGGACTGAGTTCCTCAACTCTTGGCTTTGGCCTGATCTGCCCCTGTCTGCTGTGGGCGTTGGAGGAGTGAAGCAGCCGATGGGAGTGCTCTCCACCTCCCGACGTAACTAACAAAAGTTGAAGGAAACAATGTGTGTTCCCTCAGTGGACACAGAAAAGGCTTTTAAAGCTGCAGCTGGATCAGTGTTGTGGAGTTATCTGTGATCAACTATAAATGCCTGCTATATCAGTTATAAAAAAGTTTGTCAGATGATGTAGTAGATATTGCCATAAGACTTGAAAATAACTAATGAATTATTTCCAAAGATGGTAATTTGTACCTACAATATAATAACCAGGAGATTAAAAACCATTGAAAAGATTTAGCCCTAGTTTAGTCTGTTAGGTTTTTCCAAAGAAAATCTCTGTTTGCTTTTTGAGTACATTTCTCAGTCTCTCTGTCTCCTTTTTTTTGTTGGTAATCCTGTCTTTCGTCCTGTTTTGTTTTTTTAACACAAGGGAACATGCCACATGTACCGTTATAGGTTGGCTTTTGCATGCCGTCTGTCCAGCTGTTCAGAAAGAAACATATTAGAATATTTTTGCCACCCCGCGAAGTTGGCTTTCTTTAAATTGTTTATCTTTCCAGTCTTCTAAGGTTAAAAAGTGATGTAGTCCTGCTATGCATAGTTTTTACTAAATATGATAAACATATTTTTGTATGCTTAAAAGGACTTTTCAGCTATTCTCTTTGAGTTGCCAGGTCAAATTCTGTTTTGTTTTTAATGGTTTATAAAGCTCTTTACACGGTGAGCAGATGTCCTTCGAATATAAGGTGCTTTAATCTAAACATATTGTCAGTTACTCATCTGTTGGCTTATGTTTTGTTGGTTTTTTGTTATTTGGAGGCATATTGCAGGACATTTTTCTTTTCTTGATAAGTGAGTTAACTTTTTCCTTAAAATATTCTCAATTTTTGTTCCATTTCTGTTTAATATATACTCAATTCTGAGAACATTTAGCTAACTTTTCTTCTGTCACTTTTTTTCTCTTTTTCTACGCTTGTATTTTTGATCCAGCAGAAATTTGTTGTAAGGAGTGAGGTAGAGATCTAGCTTCAATGTTAAAGATAATTACAAAGCAATTTAAATGGTAATTATATAATTACTATTCCACCTTTTTTTTACTGTGTTATGCTCTACTATTTTTATTGTAGACTAAGTTAATAAAGTAGGGGTGTTTTCTGTGGCTCCTTTGAGATATTTCACTGCTTTACCTGGCCATGTGCTGGTATTGTATTATTATGTTAATTATTGTATTAATTTATTCTGTTAGTTCTAGCCTCCCCTTATTCACATATTTGGAAAATGATTGAGTATTCCTTTTAATCACTTAGTTTGTGACAGAGAAACTGAGGAACTGCCATCCATTGTTTCACTCTGCAAATGCCTCCTCTAAATGATGGCAGGGGCTCAGCCAAGTCCCCGTGCAGTCATCATGGACTCACCCAAGTCCCCGTTCCCCGTGCAGGCAGCAGGGGCTCACCCAAGTCCCCGTTCCCCGTGCAGGCAGCAGGGGCTCACCCAAGTCCCCGTACATCCGCTGCATGCTGCCTCACAGGGGCACGTTGGCAGGAAGCTTGTTCAGAAGTACAGCAGGGGGACCCGGCATGATGACCTAGAGGATAAATCTCCTTGTGTGTGCCAGGGTCCCATATGGGTGCTGGTTCTAATCCTGGCATCTCTACTTCCCATCCAGCTCCCTGCTTGTGGCCTGGGAAAGCAGTCGAGGACTGCCCCAAAGCCTTGGGACCCTGCACCCGTGTGGGAGACCTGGAAGAAGCTCCTGGCTCCTGGCTTTGGATTGGCTCAGCTCCAGCCTTTACGGACACTTGGGGAGTGAACCAGCGGATATAAGATCTTTCTGTCTCTGTTTCTTTTTGTATATCTGACTTTACAAGAAAAAGAAAATCTTTTTTTTTTTTTTTTTTTAAATAAAGGTAGAGGATCCGGGGGAGCTGGGGACTGAAGCCCAGGCACTCCAGGAATGGGATGTGGGTGTCCCAAGTGGTGTCTAACTGCCATAAAAATGCTGGCCTCAGATTACAGGCTATTTTTGTGGATTCATTTTAGCTGGCGACTTTCCGGCCATTCTGTTGATGGTTTTATTTGGTCATGTTAACTCTTCAGAATTGCATGGGAAGATTTGGCATTTCTGTAAGGTTAGTGGTCACTCCATGCCTGGAAATGAGACACAGATTGACGAGGGTGAAGCGCCCTCTGCTAGGGCAACCTCGTTCCTCGCCCCGCAAACTTCCTTATCCTGCCCAGAGGGGCACAGCTCCGCCAGAGGCAGAGGTGCAGCTTCTGTTCGGTAAGACTCTTGACTCAAACTAGAGCAAACCCATTTTTTGCTTTTATTTATCATGGCTTTGGTGACTCTTGATACATGTGAGAAATGTGATCTGGTATTTCCTTTTAAATTATTAGCTTGACTAGACTGTAGTAAGATGTTATTTATGTGTGGAGCCACTCATTGTATTTTGGGTTTTTTTTTTTTTTTTAAACTTTTGTCTTATCTATTTGGCCCATTTTCAGAAGTCCTCAGAGGAACAAATTGCCGAACTACAGAAGCTTCATGAAAAAGAGTTGGCCAGGAAAGAACAAGAGCTGACCAAGAAACTTGAGAACCGAGAGAGGGAATTTCAGGAGCAGATGAAAGTGGCTCTCGTGAGTACCTGCTTTGTTCTTGCTCCCAGTAAACCTCACAGTATTATCAGGTTAGGCCTTGGGCCCTTACTTCCTGGCTTGACATGGCACTCTGCAGAGAGGCTCTGAGTGTGAGTATGAGTGTGAGGCTGTGAGTATGCAGAGAGGCTAGCAGGGTAATGAGAGGGGCTGCCTGAGATTTTAGTTTAGTGTTGTGTGAAAATTAAACTGGCTGATGTGACAAACTGTCGGCCGTTTGCTTATTTGCTTGTTACGAGTGTATCCCTCCCAACCTGACAGTAGGCTGTAGTTAGGGAGACGAAAGGAGAAGTCAAGTTTATTGAGAAACAGAATGAAGACCAACTCACAAAACTGCAAACTCACCAGATTGAATATACTAGAGCTCAAAACTCGGTGTATTTGATCTGAATTACATTTTAAAGAGAAAAAAACCAGGCCCGGAGCAATAGCCTAGCAGCTAAAGTCCTCGCCTTGAGTGCACCAGGATCCCATATGGGTGCTGGTTCTAATCCCAGTGGCCCTGCTTCCCATTGAGCTCCCTGCTTGTGGCTTGAGAAAGTAGATGAGGACGGCCCAAAGCCTTGGGACTCTGCACCCACATGGGGACCCTGTGCCCTCGTGGGAACCTTGACCCTGCGCCCATGTGGGACCCTGACCCTGTGCCCGTGTGGGGACCCTGAAATCGGAGATTCAGATTTCTGCTGAAAGATTTGTTGGAACAGTACAAGTTGAATTCTCCCCAGGATACAGAGATGACTTAACATGCAGAAAGCAATAAATGTGATAGCTCAAAATTAGCAAACTGAAGAATAAGAATCATGATTGTCTCAACAGATGCAGAAAAAGCATATAATAAAATACAGCATCCTTTCATGATAAAAACCTTAAGCATGTTGGATACGAAAGGAACATTCCTCAACGCAGTTAAGGCATTATACACCAAACCCACAGGCATCATCATATGGAATGGGGAAAAGCTGGGAGCATTTCCACAAAGATCTGGAACCAGACAGGAAAGCTTTGTGTCACCGTTTCTATTCAATTAGTTCTGAAGTTTTAGCCAGAACCATTGGAGAAGAAAATTCAAAACAATACAGATGGGAGAGGAAGAAGTCCAGTTTTTTTTATCCCCTTTTGCCGATGACATGATCATTCAGTATAGAGGAAACCGAGAGATTTCCCCAAGAGACTATTGGAACTTCTAAAAGAGTTTGGTAAAGTTACAGAATATAAAATGGACACACAAAAAGCAATAGTAGTTGAATATACAAACTGCCAGGGTTGGGAAAGAATTATCCTATTCACAAAAGCTACAAAATGTTTTAAACACCTAAGGATACATTTAACCAAGGATGTGAAAGATCTCTCCATTGAAAATTACAAAAAATGAAGGAAAGGAATAGAAGCTGATATAAAACAAATGAAAACATCTTCCATGTTTGTGGGTTGGAAGAATTAGTATCACCAAAATTCTATACTACCCAAAGTAATGTGTAGACTCAACTGAATGCAATCTCAGTCGAAATACAAAGAATTGTTTTCAAATTTGGAAAAATTTGAAATTTGCCCTAAATTCGTGTGGAAACATTAGAGACCGTGGGTCACTGGAGCCGTCTTTTGTTTTTTTAATTTTTTGGAAAGATTTGTTTATTTTTATCTGAAAGTCAGATACACAGAGAGGAGGACAGAGAGGAAGATCTTCCATTTGATGGTTTACTCCTCAAGTGGCCGCAATGGCCAGAGCTGAACTGATCTGAAGCCAAGACCCTCCTCTGGGTCTCTCACATACGTGCAGGGCTTTGGGCTGTCCTCGACTGCTTTCCCAGGCCACAAGCAGGGAGCTGGATGGGAAGTGGAACAGCTGGGATACAAATCAGCATCCATATGGGATCCCAGCGCATGCAAGATGTGCACTTTAGCCATTAGGCTGCTGTACCGTGTCCAGCTAAAGCAGTCTGAAACAATAAAAACAAAGCTGGAGGCATCACCATAGTAAATTTTAAGACATACTATTGGTCAGTTTTAATCAAAATAGCATGATACTGGCACGAAAGTAGACATGTGGACAGTTGGAGCAGAACAGAAACCATAGAAATTAGGCCACACATTTGCAACCAACTAATCTTTGAGGAGCAAGGTAAAAATCACTCCTTGGAAAAAAGGACAGTCTCTTCAACAAGTGGGTCCTGGAAAAATTGGATCTCCCCATACAAAAGTATGAAAAGAAGACCTTATACCTCATATAAAACCCAGCTCCGTGGGTCTAAGATCTAAACCTAAGACTTGAAGCCATCAAATGATTTGAAGAAAACAAGGAGAATGCTCTTGCAAGACAGGTTTTGAGAAAATACTTATAAACTGTAATAACAGATTATTATACAAAATATACCGATAGAAGCTCAAAAAGTCAAAACAAAATAAAAGACATGAATGGAATTTTCTAAAAGGGTGTAATAGAAATGGCCAAGAAAGAAAAATGCTCAGGATCACTGGTCATGAGGGAAATTCGAACAAATGCTACAGTGAAGTTTCACTTTGCCTCAGTTAGAATGGCCAAAAAAAAAAAAAAAGGCCTAGAGACCTAGCAAAGATGTGGGGGCCAAGTGCTCCTGCATCCTGCTGGCATGAACATGAACTAGTGCCACCATTATGGAAGGCAATATGGACATTGCTCAAAGATGTGAGATGGATCTGTATGACCCAGCCACCCCTCTCTTGGAAATGAAATCAGTATATGGAAGAATGTTCTATATCTCTACATTTATAGCAGCTCTATTTAAAGTAGCTAAGATACAGAGTCAGCAGATGTCCATCACTGATAAATGAATGAAAAAAAGTGTTGTGTATTTACATTGTGCAATACTACTTAGCCGTTAAAAAGAATGGAATTCTGATTTTTTGCAACATGCTTGCGACTGGAGATGGTAGCATATGTTTTCTTTGATTTCTGCTAGCTGATATAGGATACAAAAATTAAAAAAAAAAAAGGAGTGAAATCCACATGTTTAGGTTTGATTGATATTTATATCCCTTTCCTGTATTCCTGAGAAAAAGTGGTCCTCTACTTTCTGCTTGTTGAGTTCCTTATTTATCGGAGGATTAAACCTGTGACTGTTATTCCAAAAATTAAAAAAAAAAAAGAAAAAGAAAAAAAGGAAGTGGGAGGCAGAAAGGGCGTAAAGTATAATTATAGGCTTAAAATTGAATACGTGAAATGCAGGAAATGTCTTATCTTTATGTAAATAAAGCAGTGAAAGCAAAAAAAGAAAATTCTTTTCCTTCCGTTGGGAAGGCCTTTCATATAAGTTGCCATAAAATTTTGACGGCAGAAGTATAGTTTGTGTATACTTGAGGCTATTTATAGGGGATCTGCGTACAACTTAAAAATACTTTAATGCAAAAGGCTGATAAATTATATTTAAAAGGTTAATCTGCTGTCTTTCACATCCTCTCTTCCCACTCCCCACGGGCTTCGGGGCTCTGAGAATCTCCGATCGCATTGGTCTGGCAGCGTACATCCTCTCCTGCTGCAGGAGGCAGCTGGACACATGGATTTGCAGTATGGCTCGTTGGGGGTCAGACTAGTCTGTGGTTCTGCAATTCACACAAATATGCACATATCTGGAAAGGAATTGAAACAGTCCACAAGAACACTTAAGCTATGGTAGGACAACAGGAGCTGGAGTAGGAGAGTGACACGGATGAAGCGGGACTCCTGAGAAGGCCTTCACACTGCGGTCACCAGCCCTGGGTGGCCTTCACTGCTGGCCTTAAAGAGGAACTGACACCATCAGATGTATTTCAGGGACAGAGCAAAGGAGCCACTGTGTGCTTCCAGCCTACACGTGCGCATGTGAACTCGCCGCTTCTGAATTTGATAGAGTATCAGAATCCTCTTTTTATGGGCATAGAGGTTAACTTAAAATATACTTTCTATCAAATAAGACAATGTCTTTAAAATATCTTCACATCAGTGCTGTAGAAACCAATATTTTCTTATTGCTGTATTTTTAGCATTGCACAAAATCATTCGTTAAAGGAGTATTCCTTACCACCACATTGTGAACTGAAAGCATTGCTTTGGCAATATGAACCAAAAGCAAAAGCTATACATAGATTTGCACACTTTTCTTAATTGAAGTTCAGGCAACATGTTTACATTCATACATTAACATTAATGTTAAAAGTGCCCTTTAGAAATTCTTTTCTCAAACTGGCAAACACTTTGAGTAGAAATATTGCCCTGCAGTAAGGGTAATCACAGAACCATTTCAGGCTTGAAAATCGTTTTTTAGGAATTTCCTTGATTTTATCTCGGTGTTCACAAGTAACCTTCTAATTCTAATTTGGTATTCCATGTGGGATTCCTTACTCCAGGCAATTATTTCTCATGATTTCTACAAATTTAAAATCTAGTTTCTAGAGTTGAAACATCAAACTCTGGAGTACAAAGAGGAGGTCAGTACAATCGTGTGCCTTTTCATACTTGTTGTAATATTGCACAAAGTTTTAAGTAATGGGAAAATAGCCAGCGTGGGGTTCCCGGAGCAACACCTTTATAGCAGTAGAAATTGTGTCTAAGCTTGACCAGACCATAGTGGAAGTACCACGGGATCTTGTTTCTGCAGAGCGGGGCGTGGGAGGAGAAAGGCACCTATATTGCTTGGTTCACCCTGCTGAGTGCAGATCCAGTGAAAGAAACGGTTCCTGTCGAAGTGTTGTAGGAATGCTTAAGACAGATGTGAGTCTGAGGTGGTATTCATTGTTTTTGGCACAGGAAAAAAGTCAATTAGAATATTTGAAAATCACCCAAGAAAAAGAGCAGCAAGGGTCTTTGGCCCTGGAAGAGTTAGAGTTGCAGAAGAAAGCAGCCCTCGCAGACAGTGAAAATAAACTGCGGAACCTTCAGCACGAAGTGGAGACTTACAGAACCGTAAGTGTCAGCAGTGGTCAGGCCTCAGAGCTATGAACGTTCATGTGTGAAAATTGGCATTTCAGAAGACCTTTTCTCTTCTCAAGTCAAAACTAGCTGTGTATGATCTTCATTTGTCATGCGTGAGAACCCCTCATGGGCGTGGTTTGAGGCTCTTTGGCCCTTAACGCTGTGCCGCATTGGTGTCAGTTTGTCTCCAGCTGCTCTGCTCCTCTGTTTCCTTGTCCTTGAGTTCCACGACGTGGCCTCGTTTTGCAGGCAGCACTTGGCTCTGGCATGCTTTGGCCTGTCCAGATTTATTTCATACTGTGTCTTGATCCTAATCCATTTTCTGCTTGTACCACAGTTGTATCAAAGCCCACTTCTGCATTGAAGTTTTCTCCAATTCTTTCTCATTGTAGTCTTTCTTTCTTTCTAAGAAAGATTTATCTATTTGAAGGAGAGAGAAGGAAAGGGAGAGAAGAGAGCTTCCATCTGCTAGTTTCCCTCTCCAAATGGAAGCAACTGCTAGAACTGGACCAAGTGGAAGCCAGGAACTAGGAACTACTACTTTTTTTTTTTTTTAAGACTTATTTATTTTTTTTGGAAAGGCAGATCATATTTACAGAGAGAAGGAGACACAAAGAAAAATGTCTCTCATCCACTGGTTCACTCCCCAAGTGGTAGCAGTGGCCAGAACTGAACTGATCCAAAGACCGGAGCCAGGAGCTTCTTCTGGGTCTCCTATGGAGATTTAGGGTCCCAAGGCTTTGGGCTGTCCTCAAAGCTTTCCCAGGCCTCAGGCAGGGAGCTAGATGGGAAGTGGAGCAGCCGGGACACGAACTGGTACCCACATGGGATCCCGGTGTGTTCAAGGTGAGGATTTAGCCATTAGGCATTACACCACACTGGGCCCAGGAGCCAGGAACTTCTTCCATGTCTCCCGCATGGGTGCAGGGGCCCAGACGCATGGGACATCTTTTACTTCTTTCCCAGGCAAATTAGCAGGCTGCTGAACTGGAAGTGAAGCCGTTCTCTGGGACTTAAAGCAGCACACAAATGGGATGTTGGAGTCATAAGCAGAAGCTTAACCCTAAGCTGTTATGCCAGCCTCTCGATACAGTTTTTGATGGACATAATTGTAAATATGCCTTGGAAAGTGCATTTTTCAGGCTTTCCACCTTCCTTTAGCAATATTTGACATATGCTACCTGTTTGGAAATCTAACTTTTTGAATTTCTGACTTTGATTAGGCAATAGAACAGTTGCATATCTTGCCCCATCACCAACTGTATAGAGCGTGGCATAGTGGAATGAGATGTGTGCTTGGCAGGTCTCTGTCTTCTACTTACTAGCTTTGTGAAATTAATTCCGCCTTAATTTTCTCACCCGTCACGTGAAGAACTGGACGTTGTAGTTCCTCCGGATCTTTCCAGCTCTGACGTTCTAATTCACATTCAGTCCAGATTGATGTTCTCATGGAAAAACAGCACCTTTGCTAACATTTGTAGACGTTCTTTCTTTCTTGATAAAAAAATAACACCCTATACATAACGATTTTAAGGGTGCAAGAACCAGATATTTTTCTCCCAAATTTAAATAATGAAAATAATATTGTAGGACTTAAAATCAAAATGTAGAAAATAACTAATAGTCATAGCAAAAGTTGCTCTGTTCTGTTTGGTTCTTTTTCTATTTAATTTTAATCAATTTGTTTCTTATTTAATTATTTTTGACTGTCCACTTAGACCGTTTTTGAAAATATGACAGGTGAAATGATTAGCCTATCAGGAAGAATCTGGAACTATGAGTTACATTAAAAATCTACTTGCAATTACCAGATTTCCTTGGTACTTGAGCACAAATTCTTTCTTGTTTCTTGTATTTTATATGATAGTTAAAATTATTTATCTAAATTATAATCTTTGGGTGGGAGACACCATGTCTGTATACTATTGCTAGTAAACAAGTATGTAATAAAAATACAACTTTTCATTAACAGAGAATTCTTGAATTGGAAAGTTCTTTGGAAAAAAGCTTGCAAGAAAGCAGAAGTCAGTCAGAAGATTTGACTGTTCATTTGGAAGCCGAAAAGAATAAGCACAATAAAGAAATTACAATCATGGTTGAAAAACACAAGACGGAATTAGAAAGCCTGCAGCACCAGCAGGACCAGCTGTGGGCTGAAAGGGTCCGCACGTTAGAGCAAGAGCACCAGACCGAAGTGGAGAAACTTCGAGAAAAGTGTGAGCAGGAGAAAGCAACGTTGTTGAAAGAGAAGGAGGTTCTCTTCCAGGCCCACATTCAAGAGATGAACGAGAAGACCTTAGAGAAGCTTGACGTGAAGCAAACAGAGCTAGAATCGTTATCTGCTGAGCTCTCAGATGTATTAAAAGCCCGCCACAAGCTAGAAGAAGAGCTTTCCCTTCTAAAGGATCAAGGCAGTAAAATGAAGCAGGAATTAGAAGCCAAACTGAATGAGCAGAAACAGCGCCACCAAGAACAAGTCGATAGTATCCTTAAGGAACAAGAGGTGTCGATGCAGAGAACGGAAAAGGCTTTAAAGGATGAAATCAATCAACTCGGGCTTCTCCTGGAGGAAAAGGACAGGCATCTGAAAGAACATCAGACCCGGGTGGAAAACCTAGAGGCAGATGTGAGAAGGTCAGAAGGGGAGCTGCAGCAGGCATCTGCCAAACTGGACCTTTGTCAGTCGCACCAGAGTGCCACCCAGGAGCAAGCTGCAGCCTACGAGGAGCAGGTGGCTCAGCTCCAGCAGAAGCTGTTGGATTTAGAAACGGAAAAAAGTCTTCTTACCAAGCAGGTAGCTGAAGTTGAAACACAAAAGAAAGATGTTTGTATGGAATTAGATACTCAGAAAATCCAAGTGCGGGACTTGCTACAGCAACTTGAAAAACAGAAGAGCGAAATGGAGCAGAAGGTGCAGTCTTTAACCCAGCACTACGAGTGTCAGCTCAAAGACAGCAACACGGAGCAGGAGCAGACAAAGCAGGTCCTGATGGAGAAGGAAAATGCGATTTTACAAATGAGAGAAGGGCAGAGCAAAGAAATTGAGATACTCAAACAGAAGTTATCAGCCAAAGAAGACAGTATTAGTCTTCTGCGTGAGGAATATGAAACTAAATTTAAAAACCAAGAGAAAAAGATGGAAAAAATTAAACAGAAGGCAAAGGAGATGCAAGAAACGCTAAAGAAGAAATTGTTAGATCAGGAAGCCAAACTTAAAAAAGAGCTTGAAAATACTGTGCTGGAGCTGAGTGAGAAAGAGAAACAGTTCAATGCCAAGATGTTGGAGATGGCACAGGCTAACTCAGCTGGAATCAGTGATGCCGTGGCAAGACTGGAGACAAACCGGAAGGAGCAACTAGACAGTCTCACGGAGGCGCACCGGCGGGAGCTCAACGACGTCATAGCAGGCTGGGAAAAGAAGCTGAGTCAGCAAGCTGAAGACCTGCAGGAGAAACACGAGATTGAGCTACAGGACAAAGAACAGGAGCTGGAAGACCTGAAGCAGAAGGTCCTCAGAGTTGGGTGTGAAAAAGAAGAGCTGAGCAGGGAAATAACGTGGCTGAAGGAAGGAAGCGTGAAACAGGATGCAACGTTCAAGGAATTACAGGGACAGTTGAAGGAGAAGTGTGTCCACATAGAGTCTCTCACACAGCATGAAACTGAACTGAAGGCGCAGCTTCAAAAGCTGGAAGGCGACTGGAATCAATCCATGAAGGAAAACACTTGTCTTCAAGAGCAGCTCGTCGAACTGAAGATGCTAACTGAGAGAGATAGGCTCACGATTTCCGAATTGACCGACAAATTAAAGGTGACCGATGAAGAATTCCAGAGTTTGAAATCTTCACATGAGAGAAGTAAGAAAAACCTAGAAGACAAAACCTTGGAATTCCAAAAACTGTCTGAGGAAGTGGCTGCCCAGCTAGATGGTTACTGTAAGAAAACTGAAGCCTTCTTAGAAACTAAGGCAAATGAGCTCATCAGCGCCAGTAGTTGTAAAGTTAATGCCATCCTCTCCAGGATCTCCCATTGTCAGCACCACGCAACGAAAGTGAAGGAAGTACTACTAAGTAAGACTTGCCAAGTTTCTCAACTGGAAGCACAAGTTAGGCAGCTAACGGAGGACCAGGAGAGGCTGAAGAGTTCCTTTCAACAAGCTACCCATCAGTTAGAAGAAAAAGAGGATGAGATCAAGAGCATGAAGGTTGACATTGAAGGTCTTGTCGCTGAGAAGGAGGCCTTGCAGAAGGAGGGAGGCAACCAGCAGCAGGCAGCCTCAGAAAAGGAGTCTTGTATCACACAGCTCAAGAAAGAGTTATCGGAAAACATCAATGCTCTCACGCTGATGAAGGAAGAGCTTCAAGAAAAAAAATCCGAGCTCAGCAGTCTCAGCCAGCAGTTGGCTGACTTGAATGCTCAGCTTCAAAACAGTGTCAGTGTGAGTGAAAAAGAAGCAGCCGTGTCATCCCTGAGAGAGCAGTACAATGAGCAGCAACGCGAGCTGTCGCGGCAGGTCCAGGACCTGTCTTTGCAAGTCAGTACTTTGAGTAAAGAGAAAAGTTCTGCTCTTGAGCAGGTAGATTCCTCATCCAGCAAGTTGTCAGAATGGAAGAAAAAGGCACAGTCCAAATACACGCAGTACCAGAATACCATCACAGAGCTCCAGGGGCAACTGGAGATGAAAACAAGGGAGACCGGTGACAAGGAGGAGCAGATACGCTTCCTGAAGGAGGACCTTGAGCAGCAGAGCAGGAGGTTGGAATGTTTAAAGGGCGAAATGGAAGAGAACAAGAGCAAGATGGAGAAAAAAGAGCGTGACTTAGAGACCGAGGTCAAGAACCAGGCAGCCAGAATTGTGGAGTTAGAGAACCTTGTTACTCAGAGAACAGTTGAAATTGAGTCCTTAAATGAAACCCTTAGAAGTAATCAAGAAAGTGGTATCCAACAGGAAGAACTAGTCCAGAAACTTCACCACTTTCAAGAACTAGGAGAAGAAAAGGACAATAGGGTTAGAGAAGCAGAAGGAAAAATCTTAGATCTTGAAAAGCAGGTGTCTTCCATGCAAACCGAACTTGAGGCTAAGAAGAAAGAGTTGGAACAGGTGCATTCGGATGTGAAAAGCAAAGAGGAGGCGCTGAAGGCCTTGGAAGAAAGACTGGAGTTAGAAAATGCTGCAAAATTAGCAGAACTGAAGAAAAAAGCAGAACAAAAAATTGCTGCCATCAGGAAGCAGTTGTTATCACAAATGGAAGAGAAAGAACAGCAATATAAAAAAGACACAGAAAGCCGTGTGAGTGAGCTGCATGGGAAACTGCAGGAAAGAGAAAGGGAAGTTGGCATCCTAGAAGAAAAACTGAAGGCAGGGCAGAGTTCCCCACGGTCAGAAGCAACAGATGTCCCCGGTTCAGCCAGAAATGCGACAGATTCCCAAGGATGCGTGCAAAAGGCATGTGAAGAACAGATTGGTGACTTACAAAGGACTTTAGCTGAGAAAGAAAACCTGTTGCAGAGACTAGGGCAGGAGAAAGAAGAGGCAGTGTCTTCTCGCTCTGAAATGCAGGACAGATACCAGGAGCTCCTAACGAAGTTGGAACAGGCGGAAACCAAGAATCGAGAAGCCCAAGTGAGGATCGATCATCTTCAGAAAGAACTCCAAGGTCAAAGCAAGAAATGTTCTCTGATAGCACCTCAGCACGTGGAAGAAGAGGGAGGCTCAAATAACACAGAGGCGAAGCAGAACCTGGACAATGTAGCTGGTGATGTCCAGAAGGCCCTCGTGGAGAAGGAGCGGACCTGCCAGATCCTGGAGCAGAAGATAAGAGAATTGGATTCGTGCTTGGTAAGAGAGAAGGAACTTCATAGAGTTGAAATGGGAGAGTTGACCTCAAAATATGAAAAATTGCAGGCTTTACAACAGCAAACGGATGAAAAAAATAAGTCCACAGAAGCCTTGGAGGAAAGTGTTGGACAAAAGACCGGGTCACATGTGGGCCAACCCAGGCCATCTAGTGACGTGGAAAGCCAGCACAGTGAGCTGGAGCTGAAGTTAGCCGGGGCAGAGCGGGAGAAGCAGAAGCTGAGCAAGGAGATCACGAGGCTGCAGAAAGACCTTCGGGCGTTAAGGAAGGAGCATCAGCAAGAACTGGACATAGTAAAGAAAGAGTGCGAACAGGAAATGGAAGAGAAAATCAAGTAAGTTCTGTTTCAGCAGAGATGCTTCTTCAAGGCAGTACTTCTTAATTTTTCTTTTTTTCTTGTGCCTAATGCAGTTATTTTAAGTTATATGGGTCAGTTTTTTTCACCTGCCCAAAACGGAAGGAAGACATAAACCCCTAAGTTAAATATGGAGGAGAAATAAAAACAACTTAAGGCATGAGACAGTAATTATCACATATCTGTTTTGGAGAAAAAGCTTTTCTTGTGTGTACGATTGTGGCTATTAGATATGTATCCAAGTAATTATTTTCTTTTGAAAAAAATCATTTCTGGTATTTAGGTACTATTATGTAACATGGATAGATAAGGTGCACATTTAAATTGGAAAGGAAAAATTCTGTTTTTCCCCAGGACTGCTCCCTGGAGGGCCCTGTGGCGTCTCTGCACACAATGTAACGCATGTTTTGAAATGTTTTCACACCAGCAAGATCAGTATGTGCTCTGGTTGGAAGACCGGGCAGCCCTTGGCTGCTTCTCGTGTGTGAGGCCGCAGTTAACGCTTTCATTTTTGTGATTAAGACAGGAGCAGGAGGACCTGGAGTTGAAGCACAATTCCATGTTGAAACAGCTGATGAGGGAATTCAACACCCAGCTGGCACAGAAGGAGCAGGAGCTGGAAATGACCGTAAAGGAGACCATCAGTAAGTCAAATTTTAAATTCAGCAAAGAACGGATTAGAGAGTGCTTTCTTCAATTATTCATTTATTTCAAAGTCTGACAGAGAGAGAGCTGTTTGCTTCCCAGTGCATGGCTGGGGCTGGCTCAGGCTCACACTGGGAATGCGGTGCCCCAAGTGCCTGAAGCATTGCCACTGCCTCCAGGTCTCTACCATAGTAGGAGGATGGGTTTGGGAACCAGAGCTAGGACTGGAACCCAGGCACCTGCTGTGGGATGCAGTTACCTTCACCAGCATCTTTAATTCTGTGTTAAACACCCATTCTGAGACTATAAGCTTATTGCTGAGCTGGGGAGCAGCAGGGAGAATGATCCTTGCCCAAGAATGTTCTCTGAGGGGCTCCTGCTCTGCTTGCCAGTGGAATAGCCTCGAAGAGGCGCACATCAAAGAACCTCAAAGTGGTCTCGAATTCATTATCTTATTAAGACACTTAAGCAGAGGAGGATGCTTCCGATCATGGTGGAGCCATACGTCTCATTGAGCGTCTTGCAGTGCTGACATATAAAGTGGATTTTTATCAGGATGAATTCAGAACTGAATTTCTTGCCAAGTTGACATGTAGGTATTATTGACTAATGTGTTTCCTTGTGTATGTCCATTTATTTACTAGGTAAGGCGCAGGAGGTAGAAGCTGAACTTTTGGAAAGCCATCAAGAAGAGACAAATCAGTTACATAAAAAAATTGCCGAGAAAGAGGAAGATCTGAAAAGAACAGCCAAAAGATACGAAGAAATCATTGATGTACCTAATTTTCTCTTTCTTTTGAAATGTAGATATATTAGATTCCATGGTATTGTTAAAAGTCCCCTCATTTTCTAATATGGAGAGCTTTGTGTGGTATGATGTTACCCAAATTAGTACTTCCGCATTACGTGCAGATTTATAGAGGCTAAGTTGACTCTTCTGACAGGATCGTGGGTTTTTTGGATGAAATTCTGCTAAACAATCGAGTCAACAGTGAGTCAGTAGAGGGGGGACTAGTTATGTGTTCCTCATGAATTCAGACTGAACTGTGCAAGAAGCAGGCTGAGTCCAGACCTTGTGCTTGCGTGAAAGTGAAGGCTGGGCAAAAGGACACTGTGCCTCGGAGTGGCTGGGGAGTTGCTGGTGTCTTTCTGGGAGGACCGTGACAGTCTGCTCTGTCCCTGCCCGGTGTGCAGAGGCTGTGTTGGTCTTGAGGGGGAGGGACCGAATGCATCCTTGGTTTTGCCATGAGTAGAACATGCCATGTGGATGAGCTGTAGGTGCCAGTGGATCTCTGGGCCACCAGAACACCTACAGATACAAAAAAGGCAGATGATTCTTGCTTGGTTTGTGGATTCTTGAGTTACTCCAAGCTTTGTTTCACTGTACAGCGCAACCATTTTATGATTAAGAATCCCACATCAAAGAATTATGATTCAACTATTAGCATAGGAATGCAGGCAGAAATAAGTTCTCGTAATTCTTCTATAAGTGGAATATGAAAAGTGAAATGACTGAAATTTTAGGATATTACGCATTGCTAGACATGCTACCTCTGTATAATAGTTAAGCCTTAAACTTTATTTTAAAAATTTAGTAATTTCACATTACTTCTTACACATTCCCTAAGCATTAGTTCTTGAATGCTTTGAGAATGCTGAATTTGGAAGATGCATTAAAAGCTAATTCAGTTTTACTTTTTGTTTTTCCAGAAGGAAAATCAAATTTAGCAGGATTGAGTAGTTTCTTTAAAACTTAGTGGGAGAGCATTAATTCTTTTTTAGTTTCATATATTTTGTAAATCAAACCTGAAGAAAGCGACTTGGAGAAGGCATCAGTTACTTGTGAAGTTACTTGTGAGTGTCTAGGACAGGGAGCTTGGTGTGCTGGGGCTAAGCCGTGTCACAGCTCCAGGGTTCCCTCCTGTGAAGCAGCTATCCGTCTCTGGATCCTGGGGTGGCACATGGTAGACTTCTGAAAGGTGCTGGTGGGTGGCTGTAAAAAGAAGGGTGAGGGAAAAAGGAGCGAGCCCCGCTGTTACCTTAGGTAAACTAGGGTGGTGGTCCTGAAAGTGGAGGGTCAACAGGTCACCTCCTTTTTCTCAGCAAAATGCAATGCAGGTCACCAATGTGAACCATATTGCAACTTAGCATTTTATAGGAGTTACATTTAATCAACTGAAACAAGGGCCTGCTGTGGTAGCCTAGCGACTGGAGTCCTCACCTTGCATGCACCGGGATCCCACAGGTGCGCTGGTATCCTGATGGCTCCGCTTCCCATCCAGCTCCCTGTTTTTGGCCTGGGAAAGCAGTTGAGGATGGCCCAAAGCCTTGGGACCCTGCACCTGCATGTATGAGACTGGGAAGAAGCCCTGGGCTCCTGGCTTCAGCTCAGCTCAGCTCTGGCCTAGGGTGGATATTGACTACTGTATAGGGTAGTTCAGGGTGCACTTTGTAATTAAAGGGAGAGTGCCACAATACCATACAGTACCTCAGTAAGTTTTTAAATGCAAATACCACTGAATGAAATATTATCCATTCTCAGTAGATACCATGTTGTCTTGATTTTTAGACATACTCTGCATCATTATGCCGCTTAATATTTTTCTGGGATTAGTTTTTTTATACAGGATGTGTGTGTACAAGGCTACTTCCAGAAATACATAGAACATGCAATGACTTGATTTTGGTGCATAAAATTCACAAATCGCCAAATCATTCCCTCACCATTTGTTTTCCTTGAATTTCTTGAAGACCTCTCTTACTGTGTTCTTATGCTTGTTCCGTCTCTGAAAAGCCCTATCAGACTGTTTCAATAAAGTGACTGCAGAAAGCTGTGCTTCCATCAGCTACTAAAATCCTTCGGTGACTCACTAATAGCAACATGAACGCACTTTTACTTTCCTGCCTTTCCTGTCTTAGGTAGCATTCTTACTGTTCCCTCCCCTATTTTAACAAGTTGGAAACTTTAGGGACCAGTGCTGTGGCGTAGTAAGGCCTCTCTGATGCTGGCATCTCGTGGGCACCGGTTCATGTCCTGGCAGCTCTGCTTCTGATCCAGCTCTCTGCTGATGGCCTGACAAAAGCAGTGGGAGATGCCCCATGTGCTTGTGACCCTATGACACATGTGGGAGACCTAGAGAAAACTCCGTGCTCCTCGCTTGGCTTGGCTCAGCCCTGGCTGCCGTGGCCGTCTGGGGATTCAGGGAACGGGATCTCTCTCAATCCCTTTCTGTAGCTCTGATTTTTTCAAGTGAAGAAAGAAATCATACTTTAAAAGTTGGAAACTTTTATCATCAGTAATTCTTTATAGAGGGACTTTGTCCACTGATTGATTTTTCAGTTGGCCTCAAGGGCTTATGAAACCAGCTGCCAAAGCAGCCAGGACTGGAGCTGGTACTCCAGGAAAGATGCAGGTGTCACAGGTGGAGGCTTAGCCTGCTGTGCCAGGATACTGCCTAGGGTGGAACTTGGTAAGAGGGAATGGTGGGTGACGTCTTGGATTTTCCTAAGAAGAGGTGTTTTCCCAATGGCCCAGTTCCACCTCCAGGCTGTCCCGTACTCATGGGAGAGTAGTCTCTATACCTGCTTCAGATACCAAATGCATTTAAAAAAAAACATTTATTATATTTTAATAAATTTTTTACTTCAACAGTAATTTCTTGTTTTTGTTTTGTTTTTAAACAATACCGGAAGGCTTTTACAAAGGAAATTCCAAAATTATTTTAAACTAGAAATAGCATATTAACAATTCCTTTCTAACTTTTGGAGGGCTTTGGAATGTCAGAAATAACTAATTGTCATATTGAAATCCGGGCCTGAATGAAGTGGTCACACATGTGATCCTTTCAAGCATGGCTGAGCCCCACGGACACAAATGGCCACGGAAAGGAGTTATGTCGTGGTGCAGTGACAGCACTGACTCAAGTGTGAGGGCCATCGGGCTTTTTGTAGTAAGAGGATAGGTGGATTGGTTTCAATTAAAAAATGAAGGAACGTTTATGACAAAGTAGTGTTTAAAATTGGGTTTTCCCAGTGTTGTGTAACTCGTTGCTTTATTTTGTGCCATTGGGCTATCTGCTGGGGCTTCTTTTTGAGAAAGTCTTTGCGTGTTTCTGGCCAGCCAGCATCTGTTAAATCAGATGCCTCTTCGTACTTGTTTTTCCTGTGAAGTCCCTTACTCAGCAAACACTTGTCTTCATTTCGCAGATCAATATTCCAAATGTTCTTTTAGCGCAAAGTTTATTGCAAGATTTATAAAGGATGAGGAGAGGTCTGGATTGTTTTATACAATAAATACATCACAACATTTTTTTTAATTATTTTTATTGGAAAAGCAGATACACAGAGAGAAGAAGATACAGAGGAAACGATCTTCCATCTGCTGGTTCACCCCCCAAGTGGCTGCAACAGCCAGTGCTAACCCGATCCAAAGCCAGGAGCCAGGAACTTTTTCCAGGTCTCCCACGTGGGGATGTTGGGTCCCTAGGCTTTGGGCTGTCCTCGACTGCTTTCCCAGGCCACAAGTCGGGAGCTGGATGGAAAGTGGGGATGCCAGGATACGAACTGACATCCACATGGGATCCCTAGGCTATTGCATTGGGCCCTACATTATGACAATTTTAAGACAAATGAAGGGATGTAAGGACAGGTATAGAGCAGATTTTTCAGTAGGATCACTGGGCCAGTGAGTCATTTCATTGGTTACCAACACATGGGAGAATGATATTTTTTTGAAGAATAGGTTTTGAACATTTTATCGCCAATGAACTGGGAGTCTGACACAGGGGCGGATGTCAAGGACATGTGTGGGTTTGCTGAAAAGGACAGAGGAGCGTCTGTTGATCTGTGTGTCCTGTCTACCCAAAGGGAGTGTGGACTCCCTCGGCGCTTGTGACGAGCAAGTTGCCAGCTGGTTGGATAGCGCCATGCATAAAAATCCCTTCTAGCTTGTGTGAGTGAATGTCTTCTGGAGATGCAATCCCAAGACAGGAAAGGTGAAAGTCGTCAGGCACAGGATAGGCCCCAGTGCTGTGTCATACACCGCTTGCTGCTGAAGTCTGATGGCCGCAGTTTAAAGGGGGAAGGCAGGTTAATGAGCTGAGTGGGACAAGAGGTAGTGGAGCCGGGGAATGATGCCCTAGGGATGGAGGGCAGCAGGGGGCAGAGCTTGGGGCTTGAAGGAAGGTGTGGGGATGAATTAAAAATAAAACGAGGAAAACGTGTCTCAAAAACTTTATGCTCATTATCTAGGCCATGTTTCTTTTCTACAAGGTTCCCCCCCCCTTTTTTTTTTTTTAGTAACACCTTTAAAAATTATTGTTTTAAAGGCTCGTGAAGAAGAAATGACTGCAAAAGTAATGGACTTACAGACTCAGCTTGAGGAGCTGCAAAAAAAGTACCAGCAAAAGCTGCAGCAGGAGGAGAGCCCGAGCAGTGACCACGTGAGAGGAATTTGAGTTTGCATCATGTTTTTGAGATCTTGGCTGTTTATGGATTTGATTCACCTTACTAACCTGTGTTCAGCTCATTTAGTCCTAACTGGGATTTTTTTTTCCCCCTTCAGTTTACAGTCAGGGAAACTAAAGCTCAAGAACTTGAATGTCTGTTACCGAAGCAGTTTTCTGGGTGTGTCTCAGTAATAAGCAGTGTCAAGGACCAGCTTTGTGCCCTGACAGGTCTGACTGTAGCTTGTGACACCAGTGTCCTAAATTGGTGTCATGGTTTGAATCCCAGCTGTCCTGTTGCTGATCCAGTTCCCTGTTAATGTGCTTGCGAAGGCAGCAGATAATGATCCAAGTACATGGGCCCCTTCCCCTCCTGGGGAGGCCCAGGGTGCACTTCCGGGACCCTTGCCCGTCCTGGGGAGGTTCAGGTGCACTTCTGAGACCCCTGTCTCTCCTGGGGAGGCCCAGGGTGCACTTCCCGGGCCCCGCCCCTCCTGGGGAGGCTCAGGGTGCCTTTCCGGGACCACACCCCTCCTGGGGAGGCCCAGGGTGCCCTTCCGGGGCCACGCCCCTTCTGGGGAGTCCCAAGGTGCCCTTCGGGGGCCACGCCCCTCCTAGGCAGGCTCAGGATGCACTTCCGGATTCCGCCTTCAGCCTACCCACACTTTGGTGGTGGTTGTGGCCACTTAGGGACTGAACCAGCGAACGGAATTGTCCTCACTCGTATGCCCATGCATGTGTTCACTCTTTCCCTCCACTTTGCACATAAAATTTTAAAGCAGCAAAGAAAAGATGAGATGAAAAGCACATACCTTAAATCCTTAGAGATGCTTTCTCTCGGTGCGGCTCTCCCTAGCACTGGCTCCTCATTTCCCCGTAGCACCTCGCAGTTGTCTTTTCCTTCTGTACCAGCTGACTGCACTGTGTACATTACCTTCTGCTTCCTTTTCAGGCAACCATCGTGGAGCTCCAGGTGAGGCTGACTCGTCAGTACATTTGGCTGAAGTTAGTGCATTTAAGAAGCATTCTGTTGTCAGCACAGATAAGGGGATGGTTTTGATCAGAAAGAATGAGCCAAGCAGAACAGAATGTGTCCCACGTTGGGACCCGTCTGCATCCCTGAAATCCTCTTGTTCTTTCAGACTCAGCTGGCACAGAAGACCACACTGGTCAGCGATTCCAAGTTAAAAGAACAGGAATTCAGAGAACAGGTACTGCCCATCAGGGCCTCTGGTTTTCAGTTAAATCTGTGTTGATGTTTGCACTTAGCTCACGCCATTGCTTTTGGAGAAACATCTGATTTAGTAGTTGGTTTTAAATTCTCTTTGTCGTAGGTAAGGTATTTTATTGCCAAAACTAAAAGTGTTAGATTTGGCACTATTTCCATTAATTCACAATCACATATTTTTTGTGTGAGAATACTTGAAATCTGCTATTGGTAATGCTTTAGTGTTTTGGATAAAATTTTATGTTTGCGTGACTTGTAGTAACGTGAGTTCTGCAAAGGAGGATGTTTCTGTTTTAACCAGTGGAAAAGGTTAACATCAGGCCTTAGTGCTGGTGGCTAAATTTTCCTAATTTGATATGATTTGGCACTGTGTTTTCTGTGAATAATGTATCTCCTCCATTGTAAGCCTCCAAGAGTGACTAAGTACCCATGGACTAGTTACATGTGTGTCCGTAGAGTTTGAGCTTTTAGAAGATCTTTTTCCAAACTTTAAAGAAGTAGTGACCCAAGGCAGCAGGCCAAGTTCCAAGTTACATCTCCAGGGATTTTTTTTTCTTTTTTTTAGTTCTCTTAAAACCTATGCAGATATTAAGTCCCAATATGATTTTATTTTTCTTACTTCTTCAGTGGTTTGTCTTTTTCCATCTGGTCTTAGAATTGGTGCTTTCAAATTGTCTGGTTTCAGCCTCTTCAAAATTTCACAGGAAGATACATGATACAAAAAAGCATAAGCAACCAAAGAGAAACACACAGAGTTTATTAAATGTGATTAGGTGTATATAACACGTGAAATGTAGCTGTTGTGATGATTTTGGAATCCACAGATCATCAACTTTGGGTTCACTGACATCGTTGTGGTGCCATCGCCGTCTTTCTGTTCTGTCTCATTGGCCCAAAGGGAACTTCTGTACCTAGTGGGGTCAGACACTGTCTGGCCTTTTATTTAATGTCTGCCTCCTTTGCCTGAGCGTTCGCAAGATCCTCCCATGTTGTAGAATATTTGGGCATATCAGTCCTTTTTATGACTGAGTGTTGTGAATATGTAACACGGTACTTTACTCACCAGGTGAACTTTTGGGTTGTCCCCCCGACTGTGAGCTAGTGTAGGTCTGCTAGGAACGTTGGTGTCCAAGTTTTTGCTGGAACACCTGTTTGCACCCGAGAGTGGAATCGTTGGATCATATGATTATTTTGTTTTTAGCTTTTTGAGAGCTTGCCAAACTGCTTTCTAAAGCAGGTGTGCCATTATTCATGCCCTCAGATGAGTCTAAGTACTCTGATTTCTCCGCACCCTCCCTCTGAAATTCTTTGATGATTGCTGTCAGGGTGAAGTGGTGTCCTTTGATTTGTTGGCCATTTTGTGCCTCTTTTGAACAGTGTCTGTTCTAGCCTTTTGCCTGTTTATAGTTGAGTGCTTTCTCAGTTGTTGAATCTTCTGTACCTCCTGTATATTCCAGGTGGTGCCCTGCATCAAATGCATAGATTGCACATATCATTTCCCCATTCTGCAGGTTGTCTTTTCTGATAGTATCCTTTGAGGCACAAGAGGTTCTAATTTTAATAAACTGTCTATCTTTTCTTTAGTTTCTTATGCTTTTTTTGTATCATATTTAAGAAATCATTTGCTCTATTTATGCATCTTCAGCATTAAAAAATGTGGTGCCTAGAGCATTCCTTTGTTCTTACATATAGTTTTAAAATGAATCTTAAGATGCCATTTGCTATTTTTAGATTCACAACTTAGAAGACCGTTTAAAAAAATACGAAAAGAACATCTATGCAACAACTGTGGGGACACCTCACAAAGGTAAGGAATATTTCTTACATCGTGGGATCCAGTTACCTCTTATTGGTAGAATTACAGATGATTTTTATTTATGCCTTTGCTAATTTGCTTTTTGTTCAGTTTGCATAATGACAAATTTAAAGTATATTTTGAAATATATATTTGAAATATATGTAGTTGTGGAATGGCTAAGTTGCACTAATTTTAATATGTACATTGCCTCACATTCTCTTTTTGTGAGAACACTTAATCTTAGTGATGTTAGAGATATGATAATTAAGATTTTTTTTAACGTACAAAATGAATATGTTACATTGCCTATGATCAACATGTTAAAGAACAGGTGTCATGCTACATGTTTCATTTAACCATCTGATTTCTTTGGGGCATGAGTCAAAATCTTTTAGCATTTTTTTCATTTTAGTTAAAAAAAAAGAATTTGTTTTGAGAAAAAGAGAAGGAGCTAGAGGGAGGCAGAGAGCAAAGGAGAGCACTCGGGTCTGCTGTTTTACTCACCAGAGGTCTGCACTAGCTGGGACCCGAGCCAGGCCCGAGCTAGGAGCCAGGAACTCTAGTCTGCGACGCGGTGGCAGGGGCCTGCTGCTTGCAAGGGAGGAGAGCAGCAGGAGGCTGCAGGCGGGAGTGGGGAGGGCTTAAATCCGGGGACCGCAACCAGTATGTGTGTGTCCAACCAGTGTTTTAACTGACAGCCCATGCCTCACCCACTTCCGTGTTCGTGTCCTATTGTTATGGAATGACAACTGTGCACTTTCAAATTTAAAGTAATATTAGATTAAAATTTAGATTTCTCACAAACTACCCCGCAGAAAGCAGCAAAGCTGGAAGCTCTCAGTGCTGCTGCATAAGTTCTTTGGTATAAAGTCACTGCCTGAGACCTTCAGTGTGGACTTACGCTGCCTCAGTGCCCAACAATGCTGAGAGAACACCATTGGTTACTTTTGGTAGTTTCAGCTGAAAGAATTCCCAACCTTTAACTACTTTAATGCATATACATATCATTTTAATTTTAATTGAGAGAGACAGACACAAGAGTTCAAAAAGTGAAGTGCATGGTTAAAGCAACAGCTGTTTACTCTCTGAAAAGTGAAAAAAAAGTTAAATCCTGGATGTTGTACAGATGAATACAACACTGAAGAACATTTTGCTGGGCATATTTTAAAAAGGAAATAAATAATGTATTACTGTTATTAAGTTCTTAGAACTGTGTTTGCAAAATGTGATTTGAGTGAATGGAGTTTTCTAAAAGTGCGTGCTTTTGAAAACGAGGAACGGGGTCAGCGTTGTGGTCCAGCGCGTTAAGCCACCACCTGCTAAGATGACATTGCACAGGAATGCCTGTTCCAGGCACAGGTGCTTCCGCTGTGCTTCAGCTCTCGGGTGCTGCACCCGGAAAAGCAGTGGAGGATGACCTCAGTGCGGGGACCTCTGCCATCCACACGGGAGACCGGGGCAGAGTACCTGGCTTTGGAGTAACTGCGTTCATTCTCAGCTGCTAACTCCAGCTAAAGCACACCCGGAAGCCGGCAGCGGTGGCTGCAGTAGTTAAGGTCCTGCCACCGTTGTGAGTGACCCAGGTGGCCTTAGTGGCCCCTGGCTCCAGCCCAGCCAGATCTGTGGACTCATTTGTGGAGTGAACCAGTGAATGGGAACACTCCTCCTCTGTCAATTTCTCTTTCTGCATCTCAGTTAAAATGAGAGGAAACTTCAAAATTAAATATATATATAATATATATATAATTAAATATATATATCCATGTGGTATATATATGTGTGGTGTATATATATACATATGTACATATATATGTGTCTACATATATATGTATATATATATATAGTAAATTAAACTTACGGAGAATTTAGCCCCTAATAATTCACCATGCAAACATTGTCATTACTGTTTTTAACAAATATATTTGTTAATTAATTTTGTCTAAATACAGACTTTCAGAGCGAGCAATTGTAATAAATGTATTTATTACAGTTTATTACAAATGTACTAATAAATTGCAACAAATGTAATATGACTAACCCCAACTACTAGTTTTTAGTGGATTCCTTATAGTATTGCCTATGCAGGATTGTATTAGCTGCAGATACCATTTTTGTTTGTTTTTTTAATGGGTTTGAAGGAAACAAAGGAAGCTATCCAGAAAAAGATCTTCCACCCGCTGATTCACTCCCCAAAAGTGCGCAACAGCCAGGGCGGGTCATGGCTTCAGCCTGGACCTGGGAACTCATTACAGAGCTCCCAGTTGGGAGGCTGGGGCACCGGACCGTCCTCCCTCTTGGTGTTGCATCAGCAGGGAGCTGGAGTTGGAAGCAGAGCTGACTCCAACCAGGCATTCTGGCACAGAAACAGCCTCCGAAAGGCTGCTCCAATGCCTGACCCATAGTTTTACTTCTTCAATACCCCAGTACGGTCTGGTCTTCCTCAAGCATAGCTAATTTGTTTGAGGTTTTTGAGGTTAATTCTGTTCCTTATTGTTTCTGCTAACTGTTGCTCATAGAGGTTTGTCTACTGTGGTGTGGTTTCATCTGGGAGGTCTGAGATTAAGAATTTCGTCAAAGAAGAATCTCAATTTTCTCTTTTTAAAAATCTTTTATTTATTATTGTTATTGTTATCATTTTATGATACAGTTCCATTGGCCCCTGGGATTTCCCTTAACCTCTCCCTAATTCGCTCCCCCCACCGAGTTCCCCTGTAGCATTACTGTGTACAGTTCTTCATACACAGTCATATGTCCATCATTGCAGGCATGGACCATGGTAGAGAGTCCATCAGCCTATTGTCATATAGTAAACAGTTTTATTGGGAGTCCATCTTTGATCTTGAATTAGAGATACGTACTGCATTCCATCCTCACATCTGGATATATTAGTCTCCATTTCACAGTTCTTGTACATCCCCTTAAATAAAAAGCCACAATACAAAATCAACAACAGGAAGAAAAATGGAAGTTTACAATGCCATGAAGTAGAGACTCTCATATCTAGTAAGAATTTCAATTTTCTTTAACCATGCTCCATGGGAGTTTGTTTTCTTAGTTCCAGAATCTCTGGCCTGAAATTGTTAACTGCAAGCCCTAAGAGTAGATCTCCAGCCACATGTTTTCAGGGCTTGGGTATCCTAGTAAGCTTCTTTTGGGGCCAGCAGATCTCCTGCTTTGTATCAGAGTCTCTGTTTCAGCCCTCTTGCTTTGCAAGGGCTCCCAGCTGCTCTCTGCTTCTTAGCACTGATCCCCAGGCAGGCCCAGAGCCCTGTCTGCCTCCGTGATTTTATTCACTGCCATTCCTCTGCCCCTGAGGGATTTCCAGTGATGGGGGCGTGTTTGTGTAGCATCTAGCTGCTTTTTGGATAGCAGAGGGCTTTGCAGCTTATCTGAAAGCGGATGCAAGTAAAGTTTGGTTCTGAATTTATTTGGATGAAAGTTTGTGTGCCTTGACATAGCATTGCTATTTTATGTACTCCAGTCTATCTTTAAGTCAAGTATTTAAACTTGACTTAAACTAAGTGCCTTTTGATTTGGAATACTGGAAAAACTAGAATACAGTTCTGATATACTAAATCCTTAATGTAGCAAAAATCATTGTTAATTTTAGTCCTTGGGGAGTATCTGGAGCCAACCATGTAATATTTAGAAGTACTAATATGGTGGAATTCTTTGTTCCACCTCTACAGACTCAAAATTGTTGTGTCAGAAAGAGGAAGAAGAGAAACATATAAAATTATAAGAATTCTCATGTTTTTTCTTCTAAGAATAAAGTGCTGACTGGAACATGGTAGTGTATATGTATAATACAGTATAATTCAGTGCAATGTAATACAATTAATAAAGCAGAACCTTTCTGTTCCCTTGATTGCTTTTAATTTGCTTCGTTTCCAACTAATCAATAATGTATCTGGTTTTGTCTTTACAATTTGATCTGTTTTCTGTTTGACAGGTGGCAATTTGTACCATACTGATGTATCACTTTTTGGAGAACCAACCGAGTTTGAGTATTTGCGAAAAGTGCTGTTTGAGTATATGATGGGTCGTGAGACTAAGGTATAAATCACGTGTGGTAATTACGTGGCTTCATTTTAAATGTATTCCACTCTGGTATACATGTTGAAACCATATGTTTATTATGTGCAGATCCTACATGCTGAAATAGACAATAGGAAATTTGGTTCTTTGTTTTTTTCTTAGTTTAGAAAAGTGAATGGGCACATCTTATGTTTGTCACATATTAGGTGCAAGTCCTTAAAATGATGTTGGATATGCTAAGTACTAAGTATTAACATTTCATTGAGACTCATTTATGAAGCATTTGTCTTTTCTTCCAGTTTTAAAATTAGGAGAATATTTTGCCAAGGAGACCAAGATATTGTGGATAATACTGAAAATTGCCATGATTTAGAATAGACACTTAGGAATATTTAGAATTTTTTTCTTCAGTCATTTTAAGAAAATGATTCCTGAAAAAAAAAGAACAAAAGGATTCCTGTGCATGTGGAAGGTTGATAATTTTTAAGTGTGAGGAATAGTTTGTTTTCTAGAATGTTATACTTTTTGTGAGGTCCTTGAGTGTCTTTTTCTTATTTCCTAAAAAGAGCCTTATAGTGAACATGTGATAAATGTATCTTGAATAGCTTTGATTCTTTTTATGGACATTTATGAGCCTTTCCTCAAACAAAATTTTTCATTTAAAACCCCATCTGCTTACCTTTGTGAAATTTTATGTTGCTACTTACTACGGCTGAAAACGAGATGGAGCTTTCCGAATGTGGAGGCAACCAGTGCTTTAACTTAGGTCAGTGTGGGGTCTGCTGAGTCCTAGGGTTTTAAGCCTGTAGCTCAGGAACTGATTGGGTCAGTTTTCAAAACCTAGAGAGCCTGTGGCAAAAGAAAAGATCCCTGTAAAATACTATGAAAAAGTTGATAGATTAGAAATTCAGGTGAATACCTGGAGTAATAGGGCTTGACTTCTCCTGGATCCTTATCTGCCATGGTCAAATTTGCTAACCTTACATAGTTTTCTTTTTTAAGATTTATTGTACTAAGAAGACAGATTTACAGAGAAAAGGGGAAGCAGAGAGAAAAATCTTCCATCCTGTGGTTAATTCCCCAAATGTCCACAGTGGGTTTTGTATGTGGGTGCAGGGTCCCAAGGCTTTGGGCCATCCTCTACTGCTTTCCCAGGCCACAGCAGGGAGCTGGATGGGAAGTGGAGCAGCTGGGACGCGACTTGGCGCTCATATGGGATCCTGGTGTGTGCAGAGCAAGGATTTAGCTACTGAGCCATCACGCCAGGCCCTACATAATTTTCAAATTGAAGTAATAACTAGTATAACTGTGAATATTTATCACAAGAGATGTATTAATTCACAATTATTCATTGCCCTTTTTTCTTTGGGCATTTTTAAGACTAAAAAAGAGCCAAAATGCATTCCTCTTATCTTAGTAAAACAAAGTTAATGAGATGAGTTTTTCTCTTATATGTCTTTACTAGACATAAAATAGCAGCCTGTATTTGAGATGGGTAGATAAAATTATTTTTTTAAAAAATATGTGTTTGCAAGCCAGAATTACGAGAGAGAAAGTGAGATTTTCCATCTGCTGGTTTATTTGCCCAGATGAGCACAACAGACAGAGCTGGGCCAGGGAAACTTGGGGCTTCTTCTAAGTCTCCCACATGAGTGCCGGCAACCCAAACCTATGGATCATTTTTTTTTCCTGCTTTTCTCGGGCCATTGGTGGGGAGCTGGCTCGGAAATGGAACAGCTAGGACAAAGCTGGCTGTTGAAGCAGTGGCTTCACTTGCTGTGCCACAGTGATGGCCTCAGATAAAATGATCACATTCTTGGCATCAGAAATGGGGAGACCAGACATGAGGTTTTAAACAGCTTCCCACTAGCTACCTCGGTTCATTAGTGAGTTTGAAGCTGTGACGTAAGTAGTGGTGCCATGTAAGTGAGTCAATGAACAGATTTCTCAGCCTGCTTCTTCTGGAGACCGTGTATGTTAAAGGAGGAGAGCTCCTGGGAGGAGGACCCGGCACAAGCCTGTGTGGAACTCCAGCGCGGTGCCAGTTCACCACGGCTGTGCTGTGCCCTTAGGGCCGTGCCATCGGTAGCAGGATGTGACTTGCCTGGCAGCGGAGGGGATGTCCCCTGGCTGGGAACCCAGGTGGAGGAGTGCTGGCCCCCAGGTCGTTAGCTTCAGCATCCATTTTACCTCTCTGACTCCTGAAAATAAAGGGTAACCTGCCATGTTGCATTCCTCATTATGGGCATTTAGATATTGGCAGTTGGTAGCAGACACTCAGTTTAATCTGTCGCACATTTATTGGACACTTAGCCATGTGCAGCCAGCCAGTTGGCATCTGCTGGGTGCTGAGACGAGAGCTGACTCCGTCTCTGCCTCCGGCAGCCCCTGTGCAGAAGGAAAGTGGAGCTGTTCTCAGTTGCCTGTTGCGGGTGCACAGTTTCAGGGAGGTAAGAGAGAAACCCAGTCCTCTGGTTTACCTGGGGAAGGTGACAAGGACACCACAACAGAAGGGCTGGGCTTTCAGAGAGGATGGTTGAACCTTGGTGGCTAAGCTGGAAGTGGTTTCTGGAAGAACCGGAGCTCTGAGATAGACGGGAGTGAAGACGGTATGGATTGTGGGGGGCCTCGCGTGTTCTCAGGGTCCCACCGAGGTGTGCGGGAGAGGCTAGCCCCGAAGGCTTTGAAGCGCAGGTCGCCAAGATCAGAGTCGTTCATAGATGTTGCCTCTCGCCGACTTGCACAACTTCTGGACATTAGCCACCAGGCCTTTAGAATGAGCCAGAATATGCAGTGGCCCCCGAGCCTTAGTTACTGTCGGCCGTCGTTTCTCATCTGGCCGGGTGCGTGTGTCGCCTCGCCCGTGTCTCCTCTGCTTCTGCACAGTGTCTTGTGTTTTATGGGGTCAGTGACGTCACGTGTTGCACACCCATTCCTAGAGTGTGCAGTTCAGCAGGCCCTGCGTTCTTCCGTCCTTGCACTTCCTGTTTCATGGATTTTGGTCCTCCATCCTGTCATTGAACCTGACATGCAGCCTCTTTTCCCCTTTCAGGAAAGAAGTGTTTTTTCATCCTGAGTTTAATTGAGGTAGCCTCTCTCTGAAGACAAGTGGCAGGAAAGGTCGCTTGTAAACCAGATGGCGCGGTTGGACTTTGCCAGTTACTGCCCAGGGCCGAGGCTGTCAGATGTGCAAGGGACTGTCTCTGCTTGGTGCGGCTGGGCACCTGCTTGCCACGCCCCTTTGAGGTGTTTTCTGGCCAGGGCTGAGGCCTCTTACTCTTCATGTAGCTTCAGGATCCCTGAACAAATTGCCATTTCAAAATATCTAGAAAAGTGAAGAGACAGCTAGCCGGGGTTTAAAAACGTGCTTGCTCATTCATGTGGATGTGGTGCCATAGTGAAATATGAGTGAATTTTTCAGGTTACTTCGAGTTTGTGCACTACTGAAAAAGAGACATGCTCCGTCTAATTGTAACTGTCTGAATTTAAAATTGTTGGTACTTCTTCAAAATAATGTTCCTAGGAAGGATACAGGAAGTTGCTTCAGAGTAGAGAGAGAAAGTAGTATTGCAGTAATAGCTACCAGACGTTGCTCTTGGCATTGCGTGCCACGTGTGGACTTGCTTGCTTTCTAGGGCCCGACTTTAACACACGAGATGCTGTTAAGTGTGGGTGGTATCATGTAAATGCAACTTGAGTGTTTTGGAAAAATGCTTTTTGGAATTTGGCAACAACTAAGTTGTTTTAAATGGTTTTTAAATGCCTTTTTTTAAAAAAAATGTCTGGTCATCAAAGTCACATGGACAAATATAAAGGGAGGAAGAAAGCTGAAACTCGCCATGTGCGGGCTTGGGATTGATGAACAAGGTTAGTGGATCTACTAGTTGAAATACGTATTAGAAATCTGTAAAGTTTCTTAGCTACATTCAATGCAAATTTGGAGCTTTCAAAAACTTGCCTTCCTGGAAGTAATTATATTCTTTTCTAATGTGAGTTTCCAAGATTTTTGATTAACTATATTCTATCTCTTTTTCACTAACGGCCTTCCCCAGACCTCCTTCCCCAAGCCCTAGACACAGAGAAGGAACAGAGAATGTTAGAGTCAGTTTTCTGGGCTCCTCTCCCGCCCTCTGAACCCCCAGGGGAGCACTCCACCTGACTGTGTATGTAAGCGCAAACTTGTTATCCAACTTATTTCATGAGCAGTATCTTCTTTCCTCTCTGTCTCCCTCAAAACATCCCATCTTGATACAAAATGGGGAGTTTCAACCTTTGAGGAGAATTTTCCAGGGCTTATGGGGGACACTCTGACTTACGGTGTATTTATTTAGATGCACACAGTTTATGACCTTGTTTTGCAAGCCACCATGTGTAATGTTTTGATTCATCATGTTTTCTCCCAAACAAAGCATCTTGTGTTTATTGAAAATGTGATTTGTATTTTTTTTTAATTAGGCTGATGTGCTGCATGTCTTGAAAACACCTGCTCAGCATGTTCATGGTTCATGCGGTAGCCCATGTTTGTGAGATAGATGATGTGATTTCATTAAAACTGAACCTGGGACGTTTGTGATTCTGATTATTTAGAGCACATGTTTGGGCAGTACATCACTTGATAGGTTGTGCAATAAAGAGTCTTTTCAAAGGAATGAGTAACCATGTGTCATGTTCATGAGACAGAGGGCCAAGGGCATTAGCACTTTCATAGAGCTTCGTGCCATTGTGAATGTATCTTCTTGATAGAAGCCCAGACTTTGCGAGGCGTGGGCTGGAATTTCCTTGCACACGCCTTCACATCACACTTCCTTGTGCGTGGCTTCCATTGCGAGCACTGAGACCCCCCCCAGCAGACTGTGTCACGCGGGAGCAGACTCCTGCCTATTGTTGACCTGTGTTCATTTTTCTCGTAGACCATGGCGAAAGTTATAACCACTGTACTCAAGTTCCCCGATGATCAGACTCAGAAAATTTTGGAAAGAGAAGATGCGCGGCTAACGGTAAGCTTTAGGAGCGTTTTATGGGTAGACATAGCTCTTGTCTTCTCTGTCTATATTTTGTTTCATTCATTAATTCTGAGTGGCTAAGAGAAAACTAAACTTGTTCAATGTTTTTTGCACCACCACCTGAGAAGTGAGAGGGAATTTATATTAGGAACGTTTAACCAAAGGGTACATGTGAAAGGAGAGTGTTAGGGGGTATTAGTTGTGAGGGTGACACGCATATATACTGTGCTGGGTGTTCTGGAACCTGGGCCATTTATGAAAAGGATGAAAAAAGCTGACATACTCACTAATAACCTTTAAACAAAATTGTATCCTGGTCGAAGATGTTTCACAGAGGACAGTTCCCTGTTCTGTTTCCAGCGATTTCTGTGTACGGTGAATTACTTTTGTTCTTTACACATCTTTCAGAAGAAAGAGCAGCTGTGTTATTTAAACACGTTCTGTGAAATCAGCTGTGCTTGTAAAAGGAAGCTCGTATCTCATAAATTGTACAAAATTCCTCGTGTTGAACTTCTTTTATCTTCAGTAAGAAGACCCACTCAAGGCAGATTGTGACATTTGACATTTTTGTCCTGTCCCTGACTGGCTTGCTGCGTCCTTTCTTGTCTTGGTAGTAGCCCGCAGAGCTCTGCTTTATACCACACCATACCACCAGCACCCCCTAATTCCACCACCACCACACCACCACCACCCCTCAACTCCACCACCACACCACCACCACCACCACCACCACCACTACCCCTCAACTCCACCACCACCCCTCAACTCCACCACCACCCCTCAACTCCACCACCACACCACCACCACCCCTCAACACAACCACCACCACCCCTCAACTCCACCATCACCACCACACCACCACCACCCCTCAACTCCACCACCACCACTACCCCAACTCCACCACCACCACACCACCACCATACCACACAACCCCAATAATCCACCACCACCCCACAACTCCACCACCGCCACCACACCACGTCACCACCACCACCACCACCACACCACCATCACATCACCACTACCACCACCGCCACCCCACTACTCCACCACCATACCACCACCGTCACCACACCACACCACACTACCCCCAATGACCACTACCAACCCCACGACTACCACAGCCCCCCATACCACGTCCCAATATCTGCCTGCTTCGTGACCTCAGTGTTGCTTTTCTCTTCTAATACAAGCACACATCTTCTCCTTGATGCGGGATTAACAAGGTCTGAGTTCTCCAGTGAGGAGCACTGAGTCAGTACATTTCAGAACTTCTTCGTGGAAGTGCATGCTGGTCATGAGTCCAGATCGTGCTTCCTGTGGTTTCCAGTTATGTTTCCTGGTTTTGAGACATGGGTCTCAACCCAGAGTCTGGAGCGGGCTGGGTGAGAGCCATTGCCCCTCCAGGCTGAATACCTCCAGCACTGAGCTTGGGAAATCCGCTTGGGAAATCTGTCTGCTCTGGCCCTTTGCCACTTCCGTCCTGAGGGATCCAGGTGCCTCTGGCGTATTCTGATGCCTTCTCTTACCTTGTTCTTCAGTTCATCTCAGCCTTCCTGACTTGTAGCCTAATAATAGTCCCATTGTGTTTATTCTGCACAACACTTTGTTAAGAACTATTAAGTTGTTGAAAAGTAGAATTAAAAAATGCTTTTGGTGCAAAAATATTTTGAAATCCGGAGATATTCATGTTTTCCAGGAATTTTTGTTGAAGAGTCCCGCAAAAACTTGGGTTTCAAATTCATTGTCCACAAACTTTTTTTTGTCCACACTGGTACCTTTTTTTTTTTTGTCCATACTGTTTTTGTAGATAGTTGCTATTATTTTGATTGCCATTTAACAGGGTTTTTTACACCCCCCCCCCCCAAAATTCCTATCCCAGTGGCCTCAAATTATTGCTCTACCTCTCATTATTTCTGGGTGCAGATGTTTTTGATAGAGAAGTTTGTCACTGTAGTGTATGTTGTCCAGCAGCAGAGAAATTATTTTAAATGACATGCATGGACATCTGATTCTATAAAGATGCTGTCAGGGGAGGCAGTCTCCTTCATCAAATTAGACAGTGTGCCTTTGTGAAAATAAGAGTTTCGGGTCCAGTGTGAGCTGCTCGATATGGTACTCTCTTTACGGACTACTTTAAAAAGAAATTTCTGCGTTTAATAAAACTTTGTATTTCACTCTTTGTTCGTTTTCCTGTGGCTTTTTCTTTTCACCTCGTTGTTGGGAGCGGGCTGGCTCTGCTTCCTGCTGCTCTGTGGTTCATCGGGATGTGCAGCACAGCGCAGGCCCAGCTGATGCTGCTGCTGTAGCACATGTGATAGGAAGCATCCCTGCATTGCACACACTCAGGCAGTCCCAGCTTGGTCTGCTCTGATGGAAATATGAAGTAAATTAGTAAATTTCAGTAGTAAACCCTATAGCAGGTGAAAAAGTTTTTCTTTCTACATTCAAAATAATATTAAATCTTTGGAAAGCATCAAATTTTTTTTCAACTGAGTGGTATGTGTGTCTATATATTTTGTTGTTGTTTTGGAAAGGGGAGAGGAACTCCTTTTATGAATCATGTTTTTATTTATTGGAAAGGCAGAGTTACAGAGGGAGGGAACGGCTTTCTATCTACCAGTTCAGTCTCCAAATGGCCACGAGGGATACGCTAGATCCAAACCAGGATTCCAGAGTTCCTTCTGGGTCTCCAACGCAGTGGAAAAAGTGCTCTCCCAGCTGCATTCGCAGGGAGCTGGATTGGACGTGGAGTGGCTGGGACTTGAACCAGCGTGTGAAAGGGAAACTGGCATCAGAGATGGCAGCTTCACTCACTGTGCCACAATGCTGCCCTGCAGTATTCCTGCTTGATAATGACAAAATGGGAGTTCAGCCACCATTCTCTTCTCTCTCTCTCTCTTTTTTTTTTTTTTTTTTTTTGAGCTTTACTTATTTTTATTTGAGAGAGAGAGAATGAAAGAGACCTTCCGTCTGTTGGTTCATTTTTGAAATGGCCACAGTGGCTCAGAGCTGAGCTTATCCAATGCCAGGAGCCAGGAGTTTCTTCCAGGTCTCTCATGTGGAAACACGGATCCAAGAGCTTGAGCCATCCTCGACTGCCTTCCTGGGTCGTAAACAGAGAGCTGGATTGGAAGTGGAGCAGCTGGTACTTGAACCAGAAACCGTAAGAATGCCAGTACCACAAGTAGAGGCTTAGTTGCTGTGCCATGGTGTCAGCTCCCTGTCATTGGCTTTTTTGTTTGTTTTTTTTGTTGTTTTTTATTTGTTGTTTTTTAAATTTTATTTTTCATGATGCTTAAATAGTTGATTAGGGTGGGGAGGGCTGGGGATTAGGGGAAAGGGGATGAGACCACTGTTTCCAATTTTTCTTTTTCTTCCTCGTGTATCTGGGGGAAGCGAGAGAGATAAAGGGAGAAACCATGCCTAGCCTCCCAACTGCCTCCATGGTCAAGCATAGGGAATGGCCACCCGGTGTCATCCCAGCATTTCCAATGTGGAACATGCTCTGCGGATTCTGTTCAAGTGATTTTGGTAGTTCTGAAATGCTGTCAGTCTCACCAATCTAAGGATGAGGAAATCATTCCATTAGTTGACACAGTAGACCTTAGAGTCTCCATTCACCCAGGTATTTGCTGTCAACACTTGACTGGGATAGTTGACTAATTTCTTCTGTCCTCCTTCCTCTGCTATGATACCAGATGTCCTCGGTAGCCCCAGTGGACTGCCCTGTTTGCCATGTGCATCTAGGTATGCCATCCACTGCTCCATCTTTTCCACGAGGAGGCCCAGTTCTGACACGTGCACTCCACAGTCAGATTCTGCCCCTGGCTGGAGTTCTGAGTCCAGCAGTTTAGTTGGAGGGGATCCCCAAAGAAACCTTGTCTGAAATGTTCCCAGACCTTATTCTTGTGTGTGCATGCCAGTACAGGATCTGGCTCTGATCGTGGGGACCCACATCAGCCTATGCACACACTGATAGTTGCAATTGCTGGGTCAGTTCTGCCTCCAGCCCTTTCTCTTCCCCCATCACTATCTTTTACTGAATGTAAAGTTCAGTCAACAATAGCCTACTCTTCAAGTAGTTACAGTGAATACAGGAAAATGGATGATATGGAAGACATGGTTATTATCTTTGTAGAACCTTTAATTTTGAATGAAAAAGATAACATCCATGCATTCATGTGTGAATAAAAGATACACTGAAGTAATATAATCCAAAGTAGGTGCAAGCTGTACTCATTTTATTTAAAAGGCAAGGGCTTCTCCATCCCCCAGTGCTTGCAGCAGCTAGACTGGGCCAGGCCAGACCCATGAGTTGGCACTCCATTTGAGCCTCCCACCTAGGTGGCAGAACCCACTTGTGCCATCACTTGATGTCTCCCTGGGTGCCCATCATTCAGGAGCTGGATCAGAAGCAGAGTAACCGGGACTTGAATTTGGCACTCTCATGTTGAGTGGGGTTTCACATGCTCACTTAGCTGTTGCGCCAGACACCTGCTCTTGCAGTAACTTATGGTGCGCTTCAGTGAGAGAGAGTTACCTTTAGTTAGCGTTACCCTTGGTCCAAGGAGACTCATGGTACTTCTTGTCATTGTTGCGTATGCTTGTTAGGACAGGAACAGCACCATTTGTTGAAAAAGTTGACACAAACATCACATTTGCCTTAGGATTTTTATCATTCATAAAATGAGCATTAGAGAAATCACTGTCTTTAGGAAAATGTTTGGAGAACATTCAACTAAGTTCGTATGCCATCCAAAGACAGTGAATAAAGTATGGCTAATTCTATTTCCTGAGGAGAGTGAGCAGGGTGAAATGCAGAGAGAATAGTGCTTCAGGAAGTTATAAATGGCTTAGTCACATTAGCTTTAAATAGATGCTTCAAATAGGACTTTCCTATAGTTCATTGTAAAGATGCTACACGTTCCCTTTCTAATGAAATAAGCAATGTTTTGTTCTGTTGGCTTTGGGGACCGTGAATGTGGCAGAAGAAAGCTGGAGCATGCCGCAGGCACACTGTGGAACTGCCCCCTGTCTGGACTGTTGGAGAGAGTGTGGGCGACACGATGTGCAGGCACGGGGCAGCCATGCAATAGTTGGCAGAGTGTCACAGGAACGTGTCCTGACAGCTTGGCTTCCGACTCTAGTCACTGTGTTGTCTTTGTGGCACTGATTAGCAGTGCCCAAGCAATGCTTCTGTCTGTCCCGTCTGTCACAGGCCCTCCCCTCAGCGAGTTTTATGCTATGTCTTTAAAGAACCTAATTACAGAATAAGTTATTATTCAAATTATTTTCAGAGTTTGACTTGATCTTAAAATCTCATTTCATAAATGAAAAACATTATCTGTCAAGTAGGATTTAAATGTAGTGGACCCTGTGCAGTAGTGTAGTGGCTGGATAAAATCCTCACCTTCCGTGTGGTGGGGTCACATATGGGCACTGGTTCATGTCCTGGCTGCCCCACTTCCCACCCAACTTCCTGGTTGTGGCCTGGGAAAACAGTCGAGGATGGCCCAAAGTCTTGGGAGAAGCTCCTGGCTCCTGGCTCCTGGCTCCTGGCTCCTGGCTTCAGATCGACTCAGCACCAGCGATTGTGGCTACTCCCCAGTGAACCAGATCTTTCCCTCTGTCTCTCCTCTCTGTAAATCTGCCTTTCCAATAAAAATTAATCAATTTCACAAAAAAAAAATCAATAAAAGATTTAAGTTTAGAGCAGATGAGACTGGCTTGTTTGAGTGCCTTGGTGTGCAGAGAAGGGATCAAGGGCTTCCTGGACTTGACACTGGGAACCCAGTGCCCTTCAGAGGTGGTGTCTCTGCACAGACCCGCACAGCCTTGTTAGGGTTAGGGGGACACCAGGGCATGGCGGCCCCTCGGCAGGATTCGGGGTGATGTGCTGAAGCAGTGCCTCCTTTTGGCAGTGTTGTCTTTCCCAGGAAGTGTGGTTGGGAAAGGTACCCCGAGAAGTAACATTTAGGGTAGACCCTCAGGGGGGCAGGGTGGAGTGCCCCTAGGAATAACACCTGCCATGAAATGTTCCCTTCTGTAAATCCAGCCTCCTCCAGTGCCAGCCCATTGGGTGTGAAAGCCAATTGCTTTCTGACTCTAAGAAAATCTTTTCATATTTTTGGCCCTTACTGGTAAAATGAAGGGATTAGATGATACTGTCTGTAGTTTTGTTTCCCTCTAAATATAAATTTGAAGGTTTTAGATTTGTCTCAGGTTGGGGGAAATTACCTTAAATAGAGCAAGCAGGCATTATAAACAAAAGACACAGACAAAATGCATTTTATTGTTCATCTTCCCAAAGCAGTTTTTATCTTCTCTCAAACCATAGTGTGTTGTGCCTGCTACATCGCCTTGATGGTTTGGGTAGCTTAGGTGACCAGAGCAGACTGAATATTTGAACAGCACAACAGTGACTTGCCTATTTTTACTGAATAAAATTGCCCTGCAGGTGTACTTTCAGATTTTGTTTTTAGTAATATTCAGATAATGTTACGCTTGGAGGACAGATCATCTCCTGGAAGTGAGAGCACCCTTTGTTATATGGAAACATCTTTTTACAACTCAACATCTTTTAGAACTCAAGCTTAAAGTGACATGGCTGTTTCCTTGATGATCCATTAGAGTCCCCCTCCACACTAGTCCCATTTGCCTCTTGGTCGTCCGAGAACTTTCTGCTCTGCTCTTGTACCCATTCTTTGGGTTGCCCAGTCCTTGCTGCAGTCCAGTCCTGTGCTGTGTTAGTTGTCTGTCACTTTCTCGCTTTGGTTGGAATTGTTTTCATCCCCCCGTAACACCATGAGGGCTTTGCAGCGTGGTTAGGGACAGAAGTTTTCCATTCCGGCATGAAGTTTGCTTTTCGCTCTACGTGCAAGAAGATGTGTCCAGAGTGCAGTCAGGAAACAAATGCAAACAGAACTGACACGTGGTGAACGCACTGTGTGTCTCACATCTGTATGTGTCATCGCCAGCGTGGCTTTGACTCTGGCATTGCCAATGCAACAGTGTGTGGTCATTGTGGGAAAAGTTGCCAACAGTGCAGAAACATTGTTGTCCGACACATGGGGCCCTTTTCATCCTCCACCTGCTTCTGTCATACAGGATCATCTGTGTGCTCAGTCTGGTAAATTTCCCCAGGCTTCCTTAAATCCTATAGTTACAAATTTGTAATTATTCCTTTATCACTGAGTTTTTTTTTGTCTACTAAAAATGAGAATATGTGACAGATTACCTGTTTCACTTAATGTCTTTTTTGCAGAATTCTCCCTCATTGTTTTTCATGGCTGGTTTCAATCATTTCATGCAATTAGATTGTGTTTGGTGTTTCTGTGCTCACAAGCATTAACCCAGGAATATCCATGCACCCATTTTGCAAGCTTGTACGTTTTCCTATTAGATATTAACCTTACTGTGCTGTGTGTGTTGCAAATATTATCTTCTAATTTGTCTTTTGATTTTGTTGCACTTGTTACTAACTTCACCTTAAATGTAAAAGCTAATTAAAATGATTTTTCTGAGATTGGTTACATCTTTAGTTTTAGTCTTGACATAATGAAACATCAATGATTTGGAATTATGAATATCTTAAATTAGGGCATAGATACTACTTAAGATTATTTGCTTCTGTAAGATATATTTGAGATTGAGTTGCTTTAAATTGAAATTCCACCCGGGATCCCTGTTACTAAAACCACTCCTGATATACTGTCCGTTTATAACAGAGTTATGTAGTGATAAAATTGACATGTCTTGGGAATGAGAATTCATTTAAACTGTGTCTCAAATTCATCAACACTTTCCTCAAATTGTTTAAGGTAAACTGAAATTATAGAACCGTGAAAAAAAATAATTTTATAATGCAAGTAATGACTGTCTAACTTAACCTAGCAGTTGAATGTCTACTTAATGATGAAGGACATCTTTCATTCAGTTTAAATGTTTAGGTGAAAGTTGTCAATAAAAATCTCAGCTGCATGAAATTATATTTACTTACAGTGGAGGGAGCAGATGCAGATTCCTTATAGTTTGCCTGTACACCCTTGCTTGGAGAGTTTTGAGAAAAATCCAAGTACAATCTGCTTAGTCCTATGAACTTCGTGTATGCATACAGTCTCTGTGTTATATTGTCTTAAAACTAACCCAACCAGCTTTTTTCCTTCCCGGCTTTGTAGTTGACTTCGCCTCGCAGTGGCATCTTCTGAGTAAGCCGTCAGTCTATGCTTAGGTAGCATGGGGTGAGTGAAGAATAATGTGCCTTCTGTCTTTCATTCCAAATTCGAATGTCTTGCATGTTACTAACCATTTTGCTGGGGTTCTTTTGCTCTTGTTTAATCAATGTATGATTATGCTGTGATTCCACATGTTTTTGTTCATTAGTTTCCATTAATTAAGAATCACCACCTCCAGTGAGAGTTCATACGATTTGGCAACGTGATTTCTTGAAGAGTAATTGAAAGTTTCAGAATTACTCTTTGAAATTCTGTTGAAGAATCAAAAAAAAATTGATCTTTTTGTTTTGTTTTCAATATCCCAGAAATGATCTTTAGAATGAATTCAAGTCAGCCAAAAAGAAATGCGAAATCATTTCATTGATAAAAGAGTGAAGTGATACACTTTACAAATCCAGAATTTGAAACACTGGCATGTGTTATTGGAGTTCAGTCTAGACTGAAAGAAACACTGAAAACCACTAAGGTTGATTTAAAAGTTAACAGCAGTCGTATGACACGCAGGAAGGGTACCACCTCTGACCCACGGTGTCCCCCAGGCAGCTGGCTGTAGCTGCATGTGGCTGTTGGTAATGAACATGTAACTAACATGTTACTAGAGCAGTGGCAGCATCTGTCCCCGCCATTAAAGCCCTCCACCTTTCTTCACGTTAGTGTTAGCAAGAGTCACCATGAATGTTTGTTTGGTACCTCCTTAGAAGTTAGGGTACATCACGTGTCAGACATTGCCAGAATTCCCATAAATTGGTTAATCAGTTTATTTGGCTTAGTTATCATCAAAATATTCTCTTTGATCAACAGTTCAGCCAGTATTCAGCTAACAGGATTAAAGTTTAAAATGCCAAGGTACAACCATTCTTTTTTTAAGCTTTTAGCTTTAGGAAATTCTTTATGTCTCCTTTGGATTTAGCTTGGTTTCATTTGCCTTAGCGATTATCTAGAAGGATCTTGTTGTCCCTGTCAACTGCCTTACTACAACTGGCAGTAGAGAGCATGGGAGTGATGGTTCATTTTGATAATACATGTGTGAAAATGAGAAGCAATGCAAGCCTCTGTGTCACCCACTAAGTTTTAGCTTCCTGTTTCTCAGTGGATCCTAAATACAGCATCGTGCTGGATGCTCTATTAAGGCAGTTAGGAGCCAGCAGGGCCACGAAAGGCGTTTGCACCGCGTGGTGTTTCTGTGGATTGGCACACTGCCTCCTCAGCTTCTCACCGGAAGCATCTCAGACGTAAAATCCGCAAAAGCAGGCCAGTGAGCATCCTTGCACCTTTAGCCTGGATTCCCCAGGTGTTAATGCTTTGTAAAATTTTGTCTTACACTTGACCTCTCTCCATGTATCCTCTTCCTTGTTTAATGTTTAACAGTTATTACACATGTTGTTGTTACAAGCATGTGACATTTAGAAAAACGCACTGAGTAACATAAATGTGTCTTGAAGAACAAAAGGTATTTTCTACAATATGGCTATCAAACCAGAGGATGTCATAGTACCACAATTGTTACCTGATACATAACTAATACTAGATTTTGCCCTAGTTTTTCAAGTAATATCTTTAAAAAGAAAGGAGTCATCTGTTTATTTGAAAGGCAGAGTTATAGAGAGAGGGACAGAGATCTTCCATCTACTGATCCACATTCCCCACCTCCTCCCCCGCCCCCACCCCACCTCCCCACCAGACACGGCCACAGTTGCTGGAGCTGAGCTGGTCCGAAGCCTGGAGCAAGGAACTTCTCCAGGTCTCCCATGTGGACGCAGGGACCCAAACACTCCAGCTGTCCTCCACTGCCTTCCCAGATGTGCTAACAGGGAGTTGGATCAGAAATGGAACAGCTGGGACCCGAACTGGTGCCAGCACTACCCACTATGTCACAGCGCTGGCCCCAAATATTATCATTATTTAAGCAGATTTAATTAATTTATTGGAAAGTGGTTAGAGAATCAGAGAAAGAGGGCAAGGTGGAGGTATCTCCCATCCACCATCCATGCCCCAAATGACCCCAACAGCTAGGGCTGGGCCAGACTAAATGAAACTAAGGGTCTGAAACTCCTTCCAGTTCTCACAGGTGCATGACGGGTACCCAAGCACCAGGCTTCCCTAACACAAAGCTAGAGAGGAGGTGGAGCAGCAGGGCATCACGTGGGGCTTGCATGGGATGCCAACATGACGGAAGGGTCAACCCGTTCTGCACAATGCCAGCCCCTCAGTTTCTTTCACGATTTTTTCCAAGTCCAAAATCGCAGTACTTTTAGCTTTCATATGTTTTTAAGTAAGAGTTACAGAGAGAAAGGAAAAGACAGAGGATACTCTTCCACCTGCTAGTTCCCCTCCTCCACCCTGCAGCAGGCCAGATCTGGGCCATTTCTGGAGCCAGGAACTGCTTCTGGATCCCCCACATGGCTTACAGGAGCCCAAGGCCCAGAGCCATCCTTGACTGCATTCTCAAACTGTCCGCAGAGAGCTGGATCAGAAGTGGAGCAGCTGGGAGTAGAGCTGGGACCCTGATGGGATGCCAGCATTGCAGGCAGAGGACTAACTTGCGTATTTTTCTGATTACATTTCAACTGAAAAAGTTCTCCCAACCTTTTTGGTCTTTCCACACATTGACATTGTGCATCACTGTGCAATCATTCATCAATTTCCTTCCCCGCAAAAGCTCAAACTTGGGGATTTCCATGTAACTGAGATCTTTTCAAATCGTCGTTAGGCTTGTAAAATCAGCATAACTGTGATCAGGGTTCAGTCAAGAGTAGTGGCTCAAACTGTCATGTTTGTACCATGACTGCTCACCTAATGACATCATTCCTCAGAGGTATCACCAAGTGACGGATTACTTGATCTTACTTGGTGATGTATTTTTTAATGGCATTTTAAACCTCTTACTTAATCTGAATACTGGCTTGTAACAATTAAACCCAGAAAACAAACAAACAAACAAGATTTTGGCTTTATTTCTCATGGCACTTTTAATTTTGAAAAGTTTGTTCATTGCAGCTGTTTGTCCATTTCACACCACCAAAGTGCCCTTGGCTGCCACACACATCGGGCTGGCAGAATTGTCATGTATGTGCCACCCGGACATCCTGGGAAAGCAGGGAGCACTTGGTTCTCTTGAAATGAACCTGAAAAGCTACAGACTGCTGAGGCGGCTTCCTCTTCAGCATGTTGACCTTCACAGTTGTTTTTATTTAATGGCCGGCTAATGTTCAATATGTCATTGAACTTCAAATTTTACTTAAAAATCCTATTCTCCAGAATTGCTGGCTCTAGGTCAGTTTGAATCATTCCAAGAAGAACATCGATTTTTAGATGATCTTGATAAGCTATAACACTTAAGGTAGTTCTACTGTAATATCCAGAGCACCAAATATAATTTTAATCTAGAGAAAAAGCAAGCTTCCCCCCAAAAAGTTGACTGCAAGCTTTTTTTTTTTTTTTCTTCCTTGCTCCTTTACCCTCTTTTTCGTCTTTTCCAGTCATGGCTCCGGCCTTCATCTTGAAGAAGTTGAACCAGTGACATAGGGTGACTGCCGCTTGCAGAGCTGTCCACGCTGGCCGTTCTTGGAGCAGCAACCACCGTTCAGGCCCCCGTGTGGCTGGAAGACCAGGAAGAATCTGACATTGACCCATAGATTTATTATAGAATTGCTTTTCTATTAGATTTTGCCAGTGGAGAGGCGTCAGTAGCTTTTCCTTTCTCCTTCAGGGATTTGTTGCCAAGAGTTTTTTGTTGTTAAAAAGATTTTTTGAATAACTTAACCTGACTCATGGGCTCATTGAATAACTAATTCCTTTCTTCCATTCTTTTAGTCTCTCAACTGCTTGCCTTTCTTATTTATTTTTAGGGTGATTTTTCTCAAAGACTTGTGCAATACATTTTGAGGTGAAACTTAATGAATTTTTTTTCTGATAAATCAGAGCATTTAATTGACTATTTTACCCAGATTCATTTTTTTGACTATTCACTGAAGACTAGTTCTTTAAGCTATATCACATGATAAATCCCAATGGCGGTACCTCATTGTTTACTTAGCTTTTGTACCTATATTTTTCAGAGGAAAATACTACTGTAAATTGTAAATAGTCGTGACATAACTATTATATGCAAATCTGTGACTATTGGCAATGTCATCTGGAGGAAAAGATAAATAAAGTTTATTTACTATATGGCATTTTCTTATTGTGTGTTTTGCCTAAGTTGGACTTTTTCTCAGTATTTTTAAGCATCATGTGACGTTGGGTGCCTGCTGTGAAGAGCCATGTGTCGGGATAGCCGAATGATGAGCACTCGGAGATACTTTGCATTCAACGCTATTGTGACTGAGTTGGGGTGTATATGTGACAGATCCCCCCGCTGTCTGGGTTAGGATGCTGCCAGCCGGGGGGGGGGCACCTCCCTTGACATGGACCACCCTTAGCCTGTGTTCGGTGACAGACAGCATGGGTTGAGCTGTAGAGAAGGCTCATGCACCCTTCATTTCCTGAAAAGCAGCACTCGCTGCCAAGGTGGTCTAACGGCCCATGGCTCAAGGGGTGCTTACTTCCCAGCCAGTGTAGACCCTGGCCCTGCTGCTGTAGCTTACTTTGTGATGGATACTGGGGTGTCCTGGGGAGTGAGTAATGGGAAGGGGGTACCTGCAATCCAGGTATCACTCCCTTTCCAGGAAGGGAAGAGCTTCTTGGCCTTTTGTGTGTGTGTGCTGTGCTTAAGTTGGCTACCTTTTGTTCCACTGAGGGTTATCTGATTACTTGACATCTTTTAGATCTTTTAATAGGTAGACACCCTGTTAGATCTCTTACTGGGGTGAAGTAGTATATTCTCAGGCAAATGAGTTTGCAGCTTCTGACAAGTCTTCCTTAACCCCTTCATTCATGGAGACAGACAAATCCGAAGAGCAGGGATCAGCAAGGCTTCTGTCGGGTGCCAGCCAGGGAGTGTCCTACAGCAGCAGGGTCAGGGTCTACACTGGCTGGGAAGGGTGCATGACCCAGGCTTGCCACCCCCTCCTGCAGGCAAGATATGGGGCAGCTGTGAACAAATCAGTGGAGGCAGAGGAACAAGAGCAGACATGGGGATTCGCGAGTATGTTTGAAAACAATTATTTACTTGAGCAGGGGAAGAAGAGAGAAGGGGGGGCGGAGAAGTAGAGGAGACGTCATCTGTTGACTGTGAGGAACCTCAGTGTTTTCTGCTTCTGTGGTTTCAGCCTTGCTTGCTTGGCTGGGGGCTGTGTGAACTCCAGGCCTGACAGCCTACGTGACATCTGACAGGTCACATAGCCAGAACACCCCTCAGGAAGGAGGTCCCTGGTGTGCTTGTCAGACAACGACTTGCTCACTACCCCACAGCACACCAGTTAACAGTTAAAGTGATCCAGTCATGACTGTGGAATAGTGTGGAATTGGCCTGAAGTGTATAAAAACCCTGTGCTGTCCAGCCTCGTTGCCGCCCTCCCACTGGAGGCGGCTGGGAGCCCAGGCCAGTCTGAATAAACCGCCCTTATGCGTTTGTATCGACTTCAGACTCCTGATGATTTCTGGGCATCTCAAAACCTGGGTACAACAGTTAACTCCCTAAATAGCCACAATGGCCAGATATGAGTCAGGAGCCTGCGTCTCTATCCAGATCTCCCACATGGATGGCAGAAATCTAATGACTTGAGCCACCATCTGCTGCAACCCAGGATGCATCCAGAGCAGAAGCAGAACTGCCAGAACTCCAACAGGCACGAATGTGGGTGTCCAAAACGGGATTTAGTCACACCATCTCTGCCCTTGCCCCACTCTTATTTGCTTTACACATGAGTGTTCTACATGCTGTTTTGTTCTCAGGGCCAGTGATGTGGTACAGTGGGTTGAGCCACCGTGTGATACCAGCATCCCATACAAGCTGCAGTTTGAATCATGGTTGCTCCACTTCCAAGGCTGATGTGCCTGGGAAAGCAGTGGAAGATGGCCCAAGAGTTTGGGTCTCTGCACCCACGTGGGAAACCTTGAGAGAGAGGTCAGAGGTCCTGGATTCAGCCTGGCCCTTTGGGATCTCTCTCTCTCACTCTGTACCCTCTCCCTTATCACTCTTCCTTTCAAACAAATAAAACAAATCTATAAAAAAGAAAAGAGAACAGTGTGGTGTTGTAGTAACTAATACCACAGCAGCATTTAGCAAATGGCGAACTGAACTCCACCAGCAGCTGGAAATCCACCAGCAACAAGGTGAGAAGGGCTGTTCACCAGGAACTCCAGAGGTGAACCCAGACAAAGAACTGCGCGTCCTGCTGGTCTGTTTGATTTGACCAGGAGCAGAGACAGAGTGGCAGGTCCCAGACGGGCAGTGTGGAAATGATGGATTTCACAGCACAGTCAACCTCCTAGAGCTCAGTCAGGCACCATTTTGTTTAAGGAGGCAAGGGCTATGGGGAGGACTGCTCATGCACTGAACTGGGAGCGAACTCATTTCTGGCTCAGTGAACTGCAACAATGTGACATCCTACAGGTTCCACCCAAGACAGGTCCAGGTAGCCCTCAGACCTGACAGCCAGCAGATTAAGAACTCTAGTAGTGGCACATCAGGTGCCGTTTCTTACAGTGTGGCAAAGAATTTAAAATTGCAGGGGACAACAGTGAGCTGCACATGCGCTGAGCTTGGCAAGAACTCACTGAGCTCAGTGCATTGCACTGGTCTCACAGGAAAATAATACCGAATATGGCATTGTATGGGTCAAAATGGATCTGTGTGGTCCTCACACCTAACAGCCAATAGGTTCCTGCAAGATCACCACCAACAACAACCTAATCCTAGGACCTACTCCAACTACAAGTGGGAGAAAGGTTGTACAGACAATGATGCAGCCTCAGCACGGCATCACAGGAGGTGGAGAGTGGTGATCCAGAAGCTGGGGCTGCAGAGACAATGGTGGAAATTTAATATAAGAACCCAGACCTGGAACTTGCTGGAGGGAGTGGCACAAGTGACTACAAACAAAGAGTCATGTGACAATTGCAAAAAATAAAATCGAAACTGCAGACCTGTGGGTGACAGAACTTAGAAACCTGCCCCAAAGAGAAGAATCTGATAACCAGAAGTACAATGACCAAGAGCAAAAGGAGACAGAGGCACAATGAATATTACTGAAGACTCCTGTAAAGGAGCAAAATCCTTTGCCAATCTCAGGGTTAACTTAGGAAGACATCGAGAAAATGGGGGATACAGAATTCAAAACACTTGTTATAAAGCTTATCAACAATGAGAAACATGTAAAACAGGCATTCAAGGAATATGTCACATTGTAATTGAATCCAATGAAAGCTGATATATCAGAAATGAAGAATACAGTGGAGCAAATTAAAAGTACAGCGGAGAGCCTCCAAAATAGAATGAAGGAGGCAGAAAAAAGAATTTCAAAATTAGAAGCTATTTCCTGTCACCAGGGTCAAACAAACAAAAATCTGGAAGCAGAGTTGGATCAGGCTAAAAAAAAAAGGTATTCAAGAATTGAAAGACTCTGTTGAAAGGCCAAATATAAGAGTTATGGGAGTCCCAGAAGGTGCAGAAGGAGAAGCTGGGTTTACAAATGCATTTAATGAAACAATAAGGGGAAATTTCCCGAATCTAGAGAAAGAATTGGGAAACAACATCCAGGAGGGGTACAGAACTTCAAAAGCTATCTTCACCACAACACATGATCATCAAGCTCTCTTCAATGGAATTTAAGGAAAAGATCCTTAAATGTGCACTTGAAAAATCTAATGACATATGAAGGAAGGCCAATTAAACTCACAGGAGCTCTCACAGGAAACTCTACAGGCCAGAAGAGAATGGAGTGACATATTCCAGATTCTAAGAGCAAAAAATTGTCGGCCCAGGATAATGTGCCCAGCTAAAATTTCCTTTGTCTTTGAAAATGAAATAAAATTCTTCCACAGTCAAGAAAAGTTAAAAGAATATGCCTCTTCCAAACCTTCCCTACAAATGATACTTAAAGATGTTCTCTTGACAGAGAAAAGGAATAGTGCCCACCAAAACCAAAGGCAAATATGATGAACATCCCAGTAAAATAACAATGGAAGTCTAAATCAATGAACAGTCCATTGCTAAAATGACAGGACCAAATTACCACCTATTAACCCTGAATGTAAACAGCTTAAACTCATCAAACATCATAGATTAATAAACTGGATTAGAAAACAAAACCCTTCTATTTGTTGCCTACAGGAGACACATTTCTCCAACAAAGATCCGTGGAATCTATATCTCATGGATTTTGATTATTTTTTGTTGGTTTCATCTCTTCAAAACATTTTCTTCCATTAAATTCTTCAGTGACTCAAAAATCATACATTAGCATCATTTTCTTCAAGAAGGTTCTTGATTTTCATTTCTTCAGCAACATATTAGTCATTCAGTAGCATGTTATATAACTTCATGGTGTTGATAATTTCTTTTTTTTTTTCTTCCTGTTGTTGATTTTGTTTTGTGGCTTTTCATTTAAGTGGATGTATACTAACTGTGTAATGGAGACTATCATATCCAGATGTGAGGATACAATGTAGTATGCAACTCTTCTTCCAAAGATGGACTCCCAATGAAACTGTTTACTGTATCTTGACAATAGGATGCTGGACTCTCTGTTACTGTCCATGACTGCAATGATGGACATCTGACTATGTATGAAGAACTGTACTATAGTGATGATTCACTGGAACTTAATAAAGGGGGAGCAAATTGGGGATGGGAGAAGGGAATTCCCAGGGCCAATGAAACTATATCATATAATGATAATAATCAACAAAGTAAAAGTAAAAAGAAAAGAAAGAAACAAAAAGGAAGGAAGAAAACAAGGAAGGGGAAAGAGAAAGGAAAAGAAGAACATTTCTCTGGATATAGCCAGATTAGCAGGAAGAGGCACGAGTTGCTGGGACTTCCTTATTATGTTTCTGGCTGTGCCTTTGGCCTTTTTAAAAGAACTTGGTAAGAAAGAACTTGAGAGGACAGCATGAAGGCTCAGTTGACTGATCTTTTGCCTAAACGCGCCATCATCCCATATTGGTGCTGCTGCAAATTCAGGTCACAAGTTGGGTGACTTGGAAGGCTTGTCACCCCAAGCACCTGCTGATGGCTGTTCTCTTCCTCAGTCCCAGATCCAGGGTGTTGCTGTTTCCTTTATT